ATACCTGCTTTACAACCCTTTGTTGTGAAGTCTTTCATCCGTAAATCACAGCTTTCCCGGTGGGAAAAGCTTGTAGCCATGCGAGAAAGTGAGGCGCGGTTAGCAGAGGGGCTCGTGTCCCTTGACGGGAGGCCGGTCCGAAGAATCGAGTGAGCGTCTTCGGACTGGAGAGGGTGCCCGCGGGATTTCCGGCGATGAAAGCAGGCGCCCCCTTGTCGGTCGGACGGACGCTGAGGAAGCCACGCAGCAGCACGAGGTGCCCAGGGGCGGGCCGTGGGAAAAAATGCCTTCCTTTTCCCGCGCGATGTGCCGAGGGAAGGTGAAGGGTGAGCCTGGGGCGCGGGTGGCCCCGAAGGTGCCCGGGGCAGTGGTCGGGGGGTGGCAGGCGTGGTGGTGCGCTGGGAGCCGAGAGGCCGGGAAGGTGCTGTGGCAGGGTCCCCGGTGGGTGTGGCGAGTGTGCGAGGGCTTTGCTCGGGCTGGGTTTGGCGAGGGCGAGTGTGCGGCCCGGCCTGTTGTCAGGAGCCTTTGTGGAGCTGGTGGAGCGGGAAAGGAGGCGGAGCTAAAGGCGGTGCTGGGGGGCGGAGCTGGCGGGGGCCACGGTGCAGCTACCCTCCCCTTAACAGGCCCCCCGGGGAAGCTAAGCAGGAGCGGCCCCGGTTCCAACCGGGATGGGAGACCGCAGGGGAGACTAGGGGCGGCCCCGGCTCCTGCCGGGACGGAAGACCGCCAGGGGAGACTGTAGGGGCGGCCCCGGCTCCTGCCGGGACACAAGACCGCCCAGGGACACCCTTTTTGGCGCCCGCTCTTTGCGCCAAAGGCTTTGGGCTCGCTCGCCCTGGCCTTGCTCGTCCTCCTTGGGAAGGCTCCTGGCGCGCCCCGTGGCCGCTGGCCGCAGGCTGGCGATGGCTCTAGGGCCACCCAGCAGCTCCTATTTTGTGGCGCCGGCGTGGCCGTGCCGGGCAGAGCGGGAGCTGTGTCTCGCGACTCCTTGGGGTCTGGTGGGCGCAGGGCTGCGAGGCCTTTGTGCCCAGCCAGGGTGGCGCGGGGGGCTTCCTTGGTGCCCTGGGAGGAGCCGGGGCCAGCTGGCGGAGCTGGGCCGGCCGCAGCGGTTGGCGAGGGGCATTTCTAATATCCCCGAGCGCTACTCCTAAACTGTCAGGCCGTTTCAAAGCTGCCGGCTGAAACAAAAAGGGGCCCAAACAATAGGCCTCAAACCAAAGTTCACTTCTGAGTGAATTCCCCGACCAGCAGTCAGCATCTTATCAGCAGACTGAAGCAACCCGTATCTTATCAGCATGAAAACGTAACCCTGGGAACAATCCCTGGGAACTATAAGTAAACAATAGGAAGTAACTATAAATCCCAAATGTAAAGAAAAACAGAAACTCCTCGGGCATGGCCGGATCCTGGCCAGATCCGGACACGCCTGAGTGAGCCATATCAATCTACCAGATATCTCCTGTGCGTTTTGTTTAGACTTGTTTGTTAAACTCTATAAAACCTGGACCCTCTCACAGCACAGACGCAGACCTCACCTACGAGCGGACACACTGCGTAGGACTTCCCAATTGCCGGGAAAGCCTCTCCGACCTTTCGCTGTGACGGGGCTCCCCAGCTGATGCATGGATCTGGATGATGGTAAAGTATGAGGGCAATTGGTGATGGATCTTTCTTAATCACTGCAGCTAGCTTTAAATAGTAATGTCTAGGTGCATTACCATGCTTATTCTTTCTGCTATTTTAAACTAAAGTAAAATAAGCCTATTTCTTTAGCTTGGTGTCTGTGTCCTTTGTGTTAAGCCCGTCAATTGGCAAAACACCGGCGTTGGTGTTTCCAGTCGTGTTCTGTGGAGAGACTGAATCCTTCTTTCCGTGTGTCTCTGCCCAGGACTGTGGAAGATACGGAGCCTGTGGCTGTTGGTGTGTTCTCGGTGGTTTGGAAATGCGGTTTGGTCTTGCAGCTGAAGAGTGTGAGGGTTGTGAGGTGCTCCCCTGGTTTCAGGGGTTGTGTAGGTGGGGATGATTTTGGGCAGGAGTGCGAATCGACCACCTGCTCAGTTGCAGCTGAAATGGGATATTAACCAAATTTGGTATTATGCTTGCACGAGACAAGAGACATTGCTTGTTTTGCTCTGCCTCTGTTTCCTATTCAAAAGAGGGCCCCCCCTTTCCTTCCCTTAAATAAGTGTGTATCAGCAAAAGATCACCTCACAACCGGCACAAACCAGCTCTGCGGTTTAGCCCAGGTCCAGGAGGCGACAGAGACTGCGCAGGAATTCAGGATGAAAAGTTAAGCAGTGAGGAAGAGGAGATACTTCCTCCCACGACCACTGCCCAGCTCTTCACGACCCCCGCCCAGGACCAAAGGAACTCCCTGCGCAGCCGCAAGGAGGAGGAGACCTAATTATAATAAGAAGCGAGGGTAGGCGGGAATGGGTTATGAATATGCATAGGCGTCTCATGAATATGCAACGCTTTGTAACATAGAAGCAAGACTAGCAGGGCAGGGGGGCGCGCATGCTTGTTGTGGCGGAGCCATCCCCCACGTGCCCGGCGCCGAATAAACATACCTGCTTTACAACCCTTTGTTGTGAAGTCTTTCATCCGTAAATCACAGCTTTCCCGGTGGGAAAAGCTTGTAGCCATGCCGAGAAAGTGAGGCGCGGTTAGCAGAGGGGCTCGTGTCCCTTGACGGGAGGCCGGTCCGAAGAATCGAGTGAGCGTCTTCGGACTGGAGAGGGTGCCCGCGGGATTTCCGGCGATGAAAGCAGGCGCCCCCTTGTCGGTCGGACGGACGCTGAGGAAGCCACGCAGCAGCACGAGGTGCCCAGGGGCGGGCCGTGGGAAAAAATGCCTTCCTTTTCCCGCGCGATGTGCCGAGGGAAGGTGAAGGGTGAGCCTGGGGCGCGGGTGGCCCCGAAGGTGCCCGGGGCAGTGGTCGGGGGGTGGCAGGCGTGGTGGTGCGCTGGGAGCCGAGAGGCCGGGAAGGTGCTGTGGCAGGGTCCCCGGTGGGTGTGGCGAGTGTGCGAGGGCTTTGCTCGGGCTGGGTTTGGCGAGGGCGAGTGTGCGGCCCGGCCTGTTGTCAGGAGCCTTTGTGGAGCTGGTGGAGCGGGAAAGGAGGCGGAGCTAAAGGCGGTGCTGGGGGGCGGAGCTGGCGGGGGCCACGGTGCAGCTACCCTCCCCTTAACAGGCCCCCCGGGGAAGCTAAGCAGGAGCGGCCCCGGTTCCAACCGGGATGGGAGACCGCAGGGGAGACTAGGGGCGGCCCCGGCTCCTGCCGGGACGGAAGACCGCCAGGGGAGACTGTAGGGGCGGCCCCGGCTCCTGCCGGGACACAAGACCGCCCAGGGACACCCTTTTTGGCGCCCGCTCTTTGCGCCAAAGGCTTTGGGCTCGCTCGCCCTGGCCTTGGTCGTCCTCCTTGGGAAGGCTCCTGGCGCGCCCCGTGGCCGCTGGCCGCAGGCTGGCGATGGCTCTAGGGCCACCCAGCAGCTCCTATTTTGTGGCGCCGGCGTGGCCGTGCCGGGCAGAGCGGGAGCTGTGTCTCGCGACTCCTTGGGGTCTGGTGGGCGCAGGGCTGCGAGGCCTTTGTGCCCAGCCAGGGTGGCGCGGGGGGCTTCCTTGGTGCCCTGGCAGGAGCCGGGGCCAGCTGGCGGAGCTGGGCCGGCCGCAGCGGTTGGCGAGGGGCATTTCTAATATCCCCGAGCGCTACTCCTAAACTGTCAGGCCCTTTCAAAGCTGCCGGCTGAAACAAAAAGGGGCCCAAACAATAGGCCTCAAACCAAAGTTCACTTCTGAGTGAGTTCCCCGACCAGCAATCAGCATCTTATCAGCAGACTGAAGCAACCCGTATCTTATCAGCATGAAAACGTAACCCTGGGAACAATCCCTGGGAACTATAAGTAAACAATAGGAAGTAACTATAAATCCCAAATGTAAAGAAAAACAGAAACTCCTCGGGCATGGCCGGATCCTGGCCAGATCCGGACACGCCTGAGTGAGCCATATCAATCTACCAGATATCTCCTGTGCGTTTTGTTTAGACTTGTTTGTTAAACTCTATAAAACCTGGACCCTCTCACAGCACAGACGCAGACCTCACCTACGAGCGGACGCACTGCGTGGGACTTCCCAATTGCCGGGAAAGCCTCTCCGACCTTTCGCTGTGACGGGGCTCCCCAGCTGATGCACGGATCTGGATGATGGTAAAGTATGAGGGCAGTTGGTGATGGATCTTTCTTAATCACTACAGCTAGCTTTAAATAGTAATGCCTAGGTGCATTACCATGCTTATTCTTTCTGCTATTTTAAAATAAAGTAAAATAAGCCTATTTCTTTAGCTTGGTGTCTGTGTCCTTTGTGTTAAGCCCGTCAATTGGCAAAACACCGGCGTTGGTGTTTCCAGTCGTGTTCTGTGGAGAGACTGAATCCTTCTTTCCGTGTGTCTCTGCCCAGGACTGTGGAAGATACGGAGCCTGTGGCTGTTGGTGTGTTCTCGGTGGTTTGGAAATGCGGTTTGGTCTTGCAGCTGAAGAGTGTGAGGGTTGTGAGGTGCTCCCCTGGTTTCAGGGGTTGTGTAGGTGGGGATGATTTTGGGCAGGAGTGCGAATCGACCACCTGCTCAGTTGCAGCTGAAATGGGATATTAACCAAATTTGGTATTATGCTTGCACGAGACAAGAGACATTGCCTGTTTTGCTCTGCCTCTGTTTCCTATTCAAAAGAGGGCCCCCCCTTTCCTTCCCTTAAATAAGTGTGTATCAGCAAAAGATCACCTCACAACCGGCACAAACCAGCTCTGCGGTTTAGCCCAGCTCCAGGAGGCGACAGAGACTGCGCAGGAATTCAGGATGAAAAGTTAAGCAGTGAGGAAGAGGAGATACTTCCTCCCACGACCACTGCCCAGCTCTTCACGACCCCCGCCCAGGACCAAAGGAACTCCCTGCGCAGCCGCAAGGAGGAGGAGACCTAATTATAATAAGAAGCGAGGGTAGGCGGGAATAGGTTATGAATATGCATAGGCGTCTCGTGAATATGCAACGCTTTGTAACATAGAAGCAAGACTAGCAGGGCAGGGGGGCGCGCATGCTTGTTGTGGCGGAGCCATCCCCCACGTGCCCGGCGCCGAATAAACATACCTGCTTTACAACCCTTTGTTGTGAAGTCTTTCATCCGTAAATCACAGCTTTCCCGGTGGGAAAAGCTTGTAGCCATGCTGAGAGGTGAGGCGCGGTTAGCAGAGGGGCTCGTGTCCCTTGACGGGAGGCCGGTCCGAAGAATCGAGTGAGCGTCTTCGGATTGGAGAGGGTGCCCGCGGGATTTCCGGCGATGAAAGCAGGCGCCCCCTTGTCGGTCGGACGGACGCTGAGGAAGCCACGCAGCAGCACGAGGTGCCCAGGGGCGGGCCGTGGGAAAAAATGCCTTCCTTTTCCCGCGCGATGTGCCGAGGGAAGGTGAAGGGTGAGCCTGGGGCGCGGGTGGCCCCGAAGGTGCCCGGGGCAGTGGTCGGGGGGTGGCAGGCGTGGTGGTGCGCTGGGAGCCGAGAGGCCGGGAAGGTGCTGTGGCAGGGTCCCCGGTGGGTGTGGCGAGTGTGCGAGGGCTTTGCTCGGGCTGGGTTTGGCGAGGGCGAGTGTGCGGCCCGGCCTGTTGTCAGGAGCCTTTGTGGAGCTGGTGGAGCGGGAAAGGAGGCGGAGCTAAAGGCGGTGCTGGGGGGCGGAGCTGGCGGGGGCCACGGTGCAGCTACCCTCCCCTTAACAGGCCCCCTGGGGAAGCTAAGCAGGAGCGGCCCCGGTTCCAACCGGGATGGGAGACCGCAGGGGAGACTAGGGGCGGCCCCGGCTCCTGCCGGGACGGAAGACCGCCAGGGGAGACTGTAGGGGCGGCCCCGGCTCCTGCCGGGACACAAGACCGCCCAGGGACACCCTTTTTGGCGCCCGCTCTTTGCGGCAAAGGCTTTGGGCTCGCTCGCCCTGGCCTTGCTCGTCCTCCTTGGGAAGGCTCCTGGCGCGCCCCATGGCCGCTGGCCGCAGGCTGGCGATGGCTCTAGGGCCACCCAGCAGCTCCTATTTTGTGGCGCCGGCGTGGCCGTGCCGGGCAGAGCGGGAGCTGTGTCTCGCGACTCCTTGGGGTCTGGTGGGCGCAGGGCTGCGAGGCCTTTGTGCCCAGCCAGGGTGGCGCGGGGGGCTTCCTTGGTGCCCTGGGAGGAGCCGGGGCCAGCTGGCGGAGCTGGGCCGGCCGCAGCGGTTGGCGAGGGGCATTTCTAATATCCCCGAGCGCTACTCCTAAACTGTCAGGCCGTTTCAAAGCTGCCGGCGTTGGTGTTTCCAGTCGTGTTCTGTGGAGAGACTGAATCCTTCTTTCCGTGTGTCTCTGCCCAGGACTGTGGAAGATACGGAGCCTGTGGCTGTTGGTGTGTTCTCGGTGGTTTGGAAATGCGGTTTGGTCTTGCAGCTGAAGAGTGTGAGGGTTGTGAGGTGCTCCCCTGGTTTCAGGGGTTGTGTAGGTGGGGATGATTTTGGGCAGGAGTGCGAATCGACCACCTGCTCAGTTGCAGCTGAAATGGGATATTAACCAAATTTGGTATTATGCTTGCACGAGACAAGAGACATTGCTTGTTTTGCTCTGCCTCTGTTTCCTATTCAAAAGAGGGCCCCTCCCTTTCCTTCCCTTAAATAAGTGTGTATCAGCAAAAGATCACCTCACAACCGGCACAAACCAGCTCTGCGGTTTAGCCCAGGTCCAGGAGGCGACAGAGACTGCGCAGGAATTCAGGATGAAAAGTTAAGCAGTGAGGAAGAGGAGATACTTCCTCCCACGACCACTGCCCAGCTCTTCACGACCCCCGCCCAGGACCAAAGGAACTCCCTGCGCAGCCGCAAGGAGGAGGAGACCTAATTATAATAAGAAGCGAGGGTAGGCGGGAATAGGTTATGAATATGCATAGGCGTCTCATGAATATGCAACGCTTTGTAACATAGAAGCAAGACTAGCAGGGCAGGGGGGCGCGCATGCTTGTTGTGGCGGAGCCATCCCCCACGTGCCCGGCGCCGAATAAACATACCTGCTTTACAACCCTTTGTTGTGAAGTCTTTCATCCGTAAATCACAGCTTTCCCGGTGGGAAAAGCTTGTAGCCATGCCGAGAGGTGAGGCGCGGTTAGCAGAGGGGCTCGTGTCCCTTGACGGGAGGCCGGTCCGAAGAATCGAGTGAGCGTCTTCGGATTGGAGAGGGTGCCCGCGGGATTTCCGGCGATGAAAGCAGGCGCCCCCTTGTCGGTCGGACGGACGCTGAGGAAGCCACGCAGCAGCACGAGGTGCCCAGGGGCGGGCCGTGGGAAAAAATGCCTTCCTTTTCCCGCGCGATGTGCCGAGGGAAGGTGAAGGGTGAGCCTGGGGCGCGGGTGGCCCCGAAGGTGCCCGGGGCAGTGGTCGGGGGGTGGCAGGCGTGGTGGTGCGCTGGGAGCCGAGAGGCCGGGAAGGTGCTGTGGCAGGGTCCCCGGTGGGTGTGGCGAGTGTGCGAGGGCTTTGCTCGGGCTGGGTTTGGCGAGGGCGAGTGTGCGGCCCGGCCTGTTGTCAGGAGCCTTTGTGGAGCTGGTGGAGCGGGAAAGGAGGCGGAGCTAAAGGCGGTGCTGGGGGGCGGAGCTGGCGGGGGCCACGGTGCAGCTACCCTCCCCTTAACAGGCCCCCCGGGGAAGCTAAGCAGGAGCGGCCCCGGTTCCAACCGGGATGGGAGACCGCAGGGGAGACTAGGGGCGGCCCCGGCTCCTGCCGGGACGGAAGACCGCCAGGGGAGACTGTAGGGGCGGCCCCGGCTCCTGCCGGGACACAAGACCGCCCAGGGACACCCTTTTTGGCGCCCGCTCTTTGCGGCAAAGGCTTTGGGCTCGCTCGCCCTGGCCTTGCTCGTCCTCCTTGGGAAGGCTCCTGGCGCGCCCCGTGGCCGCTGGCCGCAGGCTGGCGATGGCTCTAGGGCCACCCAGCAGCTCCTATTTTGTGGCGCCGGCGTGGCCGTGCCGGGCAGAGCGGGAGCTGTGTCTCGCGACTCCTTGGGGTCTGGTGGGCGCAGGGCTGCGAGGCCTTTGTGCCCAGCCAGGGTGGCGCGGGGGGCTTCCTTGGTGCCCTGGCAGGAGCCGGGGCCAGCTGGCGGAGCTGGGCCGGCCGCAGCGGTTGGCGAGGGGCATTTCTAATATCCCCGAGCGCTACTCCTAAACTGTCAGGCCGTTTCAAAGCTGCCGGCTGAAACAAAAAGGGGCCCAAACAATAGGCCTCAAACCAAAGTTCACTTCTGAGTGAATTCCCCGACCAGCAATCAGCATCTTATCAGCAGACTGAAGCAACCCGTATATTATCAGCATGAAAACGTAACCCTGGGAACAATCCCTGGGAACTATAAGTAAACAATAGGAAGTAACTATAAATCCCAAATGTAAAGAAAAACAGAAACTCCTCGCGCATGGCCGGATCCTGGCCAGATCCGGACACGCCTGAGTGAGCCATATCAATCTACCAGATATCTCCTGTGCGTTTTGTTTAGACTTGTTTGTTAAACTCTATAAAACCTGGACCCTCTCACAGCACAGACGCAGACCTCACCTACGAGCGGACGCACTGCGTAGGACTTCCCAATTGCCGGGAAAGCCTCTCCGACCCTTCGCTGTGACGGGGCTCCCCAGCTGATGCACGGATCTGGATGATGGTAAAGTATGAGGGCAATTGGTGATGGATCTTTCTTAATCACTACAGCTAGCTTTAAATAGTAATGTCTAGGTGCATTACCATGCTTATTCTTTCTGCTGTTTTAAACTAAAGTAAAATAAGCCTATTTCTTTAGCTTGGTGTCTGTGTCCTTTGTGTTAAGCCCGTCAATTGGCAAAACACAGGCGTTGGTGTTTTCAGCCGTGTTCTGTGGAGAGACTGAATCCTTCTTTCCGTGTGTCTCTGCCCAGGACTGTGGAAGATACGGAGCCTGTGGCTGTTGGTGTGTTCTCGGTGGTTTGGAAATGCGGTTTGGTCTTGCAGCTGAAGAGTGTGAGGGTTGTGAGGTGCTCCCCTGGTTTCAGGGGTTGTGTAGGTGGGGATGATTTTGGGCAGGAGTGCGAATCGACCACCTGCTCAGTTGCAGCTGAAATGGGATATTAACCAAATTTGGTATTATGCTTGCACGAGACAAGAGACATTGCTTGTTTTGCTCTGCCTCTGTTTCCTATTCAAAAGAGGGCCCCCCCTTTCCTTCCCTTAAATAAGTGTGTATCAGCAAAAGATCACCTCACAACCGGCACAAACCAGCTCTGCGGTTTAGCCCAGGTCCAGGAGGCGACAGAGACTGCGCAGGAATTCAGGATGAAAAGTTAAGCAGTGAGGAAGAGGAGATACTTCCTCCCACGACCACTGCCCAGCTCTTCACGACCCCCGCCCAGGACCAAAGGAACTCCCTGCGCAGCCGCAAGGAGGAGGAGACCTAATTATAATAAGAAGCGAGGGTAGGCGGGAATGGGTTATGAATATGCATAGGCGTCTCATGAATATGCAACGCTTTGTAACATAGAAGCAAGACTAGCAGGGCAGGGGGGCGCGCATGCTTGTTGTGGCGGAGCCATCCCCCACGTGCCCGGCGCCGAATAAACATACCTGCTTTACAACCCTTTGTTGTGAAGTCTTTCATCCGTAAATCACAGCTTTCCCGGTGGGAAAAGCTTGTAGCCATGCCGAGAAATGAGGCGCGGTTAGCAGAGGGGCTCGTGTCCCTTGACGGGAGGCCGGTCCGAAGAATCGAGTGAGCGTCTTCGGACTGGAGAGGGTGCCCGCGGGATTTCCGGCGATGAAAGCAGGCGCCCCCTTGTCGGTCGGACGGACGCTGAGGAAGCCACGCAGCAGCACGAGGTGCCCAGGGGCGGGCCGTGGGAAAAAATGCCTTCCTTTTCCCGCGCGATGTGCCGAGGGAAGGTGAAGGGTGAGCCTGGGGCGCGGGTGGCCCCGAAGGTGCCCGGGGCAGTGGTCGGGGGGTGGCAGGCGTGGTGGTGCGCTGGGAGCCGAGAGGCCGGGAAGGTGCTGTGGCAGGGTCCCCGGTGGGTGTGGCGAGTGTGCGAGGGCTTTGCTCGGGCTGGGTTTGGCGAGGGCGAGTGTGCGGCCCGGCCTGTTGTCAGGAGCCTTTGTGGAGCTGGTGGAGCGGGAAAGGAGGCGGAGCTAAAGGCGGTGCTGGGGGGCGGAGCTGGCGGGGGCCACGGTGCAGCTACCCTCCCCTTAACAGGCCCCCCGGGGAAGCTAAGCAGGAGCGGCCCCGGTTCCAACCGGGATGGGAGACCGCAGGGGAGACTAGGGGCGGCCCCGGCTCCTGCCGGGACGGAAGACCGCCAGGGGAGACTGTAGGGGCGGCCCCGGCTCCTGCCGGGACACAAGACCGCCCAGGGACACCCTTTTTGGCGCCCGCTCTTTGCGCCAAAGGCTTTGGGCTCGCTCGCCCTGGCCTTGCTCGTCCTCCTTGGGAAGGCTCCTGGCGCGCCCCGTGGCCGCTGGCCGCAGGCTGGCGATGGCTCTAGGGCCACCCAGCAGCTCCTATTTTGTGGCGCCGGCGTGGCCGTGCCGGGCAGAGCGGGAGCTGTGTCTCGCGACTCCTTGGGGTCTGGTGGGCGCAGGGCTGCGAGGCCTTTGTGCCCAGCCAGGGTGGCGCGGGGGGCTTCCTTGGTGCCCTGGGAGGAGCCGGGGCCAGCTGGCGGAGCTGGGCCGGCCGCAGCGGTTGGCGAGGGGCATTTCTAATATCCCCGAGCGCTACTCCTAAACTGTCAGGCCGTTTCAAAGCTGCCGGCTGAAACAAAAAGGGGCCCAAACAATAGGCCTCAAACCAAAGTTCACTTCTGAGTGAATTCCCCGACCAGCAGTCAGCATCTTATCAGCAGACTGAAGCAACCCGTATCTTATCAGCATGAAAACGTAACCCTGGGAACAATCCCTGGGAACTATAAGTAAACAATAGGAAGTAACTATAAATCCCAAATGTAAAGAAAAACAGAAACTCCTCGGGCATGGCCGGATCCTGGCCAGATCCGGACACGCCTGAGTGAGCCATATCAATCTACCAGATATCTCCTGTGCGTTTTGTTTAGACTTGTTTGTTAAACTCTATAAAACCTGGACCCTCTCACAGCACAGACGCAGACCTCACCTACGAGCGGACACACTGCGTAGGACTTCCCAATTGCCGGGAAAGCCTCTCCGACCTTTCGCTGTGACGGGGCTCCCCAGCTGATGCATGGATCTGGATGATGGTAAAGTATGAGGGCAATTGGTGATGGATCTTTCTTAATCACTGCAGCTAGCTTTAAATAGTAATGTCTAGGTGCATTACCATGCTTATTCTTTCTGCTATTTTAAACTAAAGTAAAATAAGCCTATTTCTTTAGCTTGGTGTCTGTGTCCTTTGTGTTAAGCCCGTCAATTGGCAAAACACCGGCGTTGGTGTTTCCAGTCGTGTTCTGTGGAGAGACTGAATCCTTCTTTCCGTGTGTCTCTGCCCAGGACTGTGGAAGATACGGAGCCTGTGGCTGTTGGTGTGTTCTCGGTGGTTTGGAAATGCGGTTTGGTCTTGCAGCTGAAGAGTGTGAGGGTTGTGAGGTGCTCCCCTGGTTTCAGGGGTTGTGTAGGTGGGGATGATTTTGGGCAGGAGTGCGAATCGACCACCTGCTCAGTTGCAGCTGAAATGGGATATTAACCAAATTTGGTATTATGCTTGCACGAGACAAGAGACATTGCTTGTTTTGCTCTGCCTCTGTTTCCTATTCAAAAGAGGGCCCCCCCTTTCCTTCCCTTAAATAAGTGTGTATCAGCAAAAGATCACCTCACAACCGGCACAAACCAGCTCTGCGGTTTAGCCCAGGTCCAGGAGGCGACAGAGACTGCGCAGGAATTCAGGATGAAAAGTTAAGCAGTGAGGAAGAGGAGATACTTCCTCCCACGACCACTGCCCAGCTCTTCACGACCCCCGCCCAGGACCAAAGGAACTCCCTGCGCAGCCGCAAGGAGGAGGAGACCTAATTATAATAAGAAGCGAGGGTAGGCGGGAATGGGTTATGAATATGCATAGGCGTCTCATGAATATGCAACGCTTTGTAACATAGAAGCAAGACTAGCAGGGCAGGGGGGCGCGCATGCTTGTTGTGGCGGAGCCATCCCCCACGTGCCCGGCGCCGAATAAACATACCTGCTTTACAACCCTTTGTTGTGAAGTCTTTCATCCGTAAATCACAGCTTTCCCGGTGGGAAAAGCTTGTAGCCATGCCGAGAAATGAGGCGCGGTTAGCAGAGGGGCTCGTGTCCCTTGACGGGAGGCCGGTCCGAAGAATCGAGTGAGCGTCTTCGGACTGGAGAGGGTGCCCGCGGGATTTCCGGCGATGAAAGCAGGCGCCCCCTTGTCGGTCGGACGGACGCTGAGGAAGCCACGCAGCAGCACGAGGTGCCCAGGGGCGGGCCGTGGGAAAAAATGCCTTCCTTTTCCCGCGCGATGTGCCGAGGGAAGGTGAAGGGTGAGCCTGGGGCGCGGGTGGCCCCGAAGGTGCCCGGGGCAGTGGTCGGGGGGTGGCAGGCGTGGTGGTGCGCTGGGAGCCGAGAGGCCGGGAAGGTGCTGTGGCAGGGTCCCCGGTGGGTGTGGCGAGTGTGCGAGGGCTTTGCTCGGGCTGGGTTTGGCGAGGGCGAGTGTGCGGCCCGGCCTGTTGTCAGGAGCCTTTGTGGAGCTGGTGGAGCGGGAAAGGAGGCGGAGCTAAAGGCGGTGCTGGGGGGCGGAGCTGGCGGGGGCCACGGTGCAGCTACCCTCCCCTTAACAGGCCCCCCGGGGAAGCTAAGCAGGAGCGGCCCCGGTTCCAACCGGGATGGGAGACCGCAGGGGAGACTAGGGGCGGCCCCGGCTCCTGCCGGGACGGAAGACCGCCAGGGGAGACTGTAGGGGCGGCCCCGGCTCCTGCCGGGACACAAGACCGCCCAGGGACACCCTTTTTGGCGCCCGCTCTTTGCGCCAAAGGCTTTGGGCTCGCTCGCCCTGGCCTTGCTCGTCCTCCTTGGGAAGGCTCCTGGCGCGCCCCGTGGCCGCTGGCCGCAGGCTGGCGATGGCTCTAGGGCCACCCAGCAGCTCCTATTTTGTGGCGCCGGCGTGGCCGTGCCGGGCAGAGCGGGAGCTGTGTCTCGCGACTCCTTGGGGTCTGGTGGGCTGACGTGCAGAAAACAGACTCCACAATCTGATAGATTGTAAAGTAGGTATGTTTATTCAGCGCTGGGCACACAGGGGATCACTCCTCCAAATATGTGTGCTACCATGTGGCACCGTTGCCTTAGATTTATAGAGCAAATGATTACATATTCATAATATTTCGCAATACGCCTATACATATGCATCACCTATCCCCGCTTCGTATTAAAATTAGCATTTCCATGATCTCCTCCCAGTTCAGTCTGCGCAGTGTGTTCCTTTGGTCCTGGGCGGGGGTCGTGAAGGACTGGGTGGTGGTTGTGGGAGGAAGTATCTCCTCTTCCTCAGTGCTGAACTTTTCACCCCGAATTCCTGTGCAGTCTCTGTCACCCCCTGGACCCGCAGAGCAGGTTTGTGCCAGTTGTGGGGTAATCTTCACTTACTCAGGGGTGGAGGAGGCTTTTTACTTAAACAGGAGATAGTGGTCGAGGAACACAAACACCTCGTACAAGCTAGGCAAACTCTTATCTCGACTATTTCCCTCGTCATCCCCTTCTTGCTATTCCCATATTAACCCTTACATCCCCTGTTCCTATCTAGGCCCTGTATCAGGGCGACGTGGCCACTTGCAACCTGTGTTTCCATGTTTTACACAATTTTATTTCAAGAATGTTTATTCGTATTTGCACTTGTCTGGAAGGCTGGGGAATACATGGAGTATGTGTTTTTTGATACTGTCCTATATGGTTATTGTTTATATTGCTCCTGGCATTTCATTCCTTCGAGGTTCCCACGGTTTCTGCGGGATGCCAGACCGCCCTGCTACTCTCGTTTTTGCCCCTCTTCTCTCCGCTGCGTAGTTCGGGCTGTGGCCGTTCGGATACACGCGTGGATGACGGCGCCGCGGTACGGCTCCCACGGGGGCCGCCGCCAAGGACGAGCTGCCGTTTCCCGCGCGGTTGCCCCGGGCAACGGCTGCCGCTGTCCGTCTCGTCGGCGGGGGCGTGGCCAGGGCCACGCTACGCTCTGGGGCGGGCGTTCTGCGTCACCTGCTCATGCGCCACCAATAGGCGCGCAGCGAGGCTTCTCGCGGCACTCTGTTCTCTATGGCAACCGTCCGCCCCTAGGCCCCGCCGGGCCCCGCCGAGTTCCCCGCGCCGCCATGGTGAGTCGCGGGGCTTCCTGGCCCTCGGTACCTACGTATCTTCGGTCGCTGGGGGCGGCCCCGCAACCCCGAGGGTCAGCGTCCCACCTGTGGCCGCGGGGGATGGCGGAGTACTGCGTTTGAGGGGCGGCCGGGCCGGGCCGGGCCGGGCCGGGCCGCCTCGGCTGAGGGGTTTTGCAGGATTCAGCGCCCCTGTTGCTTACACCTAGTACCGGTGTACCTGATTTAGAGATTACTGTTGGCTTTGGCCTGTGGTTATATATTTATTTATTAGGCTGATGTCGTTTTGAGGCTGCTCTCTGCGTTGTGAGGTTTCCGTGCTGGTGTTGGCTTGTGTTTACCTTTCTGTAATGAAGAGAAAGTTTTCCTTCTGAAAACGCAGTAACAGCAACGAGACCATTAGTCGAGCTTTTTCTATCAGTGTATCCTGTTACTTCTCATTTGTACAATAATGTCTTTGTGGGAGATGTTAGATTTGCAGCTTTACTGTGAGAGCTTGTTTTATTTACTGCTGTTGCTGTTTCTCAGACTGCCTGTTGATATCTGTGCTCACATTTTTTTTGTTCATCCAGTTATTGCAGTACTGCATTTTCAGTGGAGCTGCCCTATGGAGTTGGATTAATAAGGCAAGGTGATCAGGTTAACTGTCTGAGTTCCCCAATTGCTGTCTCCAACACCAGCAATACTAACTCTGTACACTGGAGTAAATGAAATGGACTTTACCTTTCATTGCATCAGCTCTCCAGGGACGAGGAAAAACTCCCAGATGTGTCCTGTTGTGCCTCCTTGTGACTTGTGCTATCTGCATGAGCAAGATTTATTCTAATGTAATTGGTCGTGCCAATACTTCTTCTTTTGAAATAGAGGCATACATAGAAGGTAGAAGGGCTAGTTAGCCAGGTCCAAAAACACTTCTTAATTTGCCCCGGACATGTTTGTTTCTGGGCAATAGGCTGTTGAGAAACAAAGTCAGATTATCACTCAGGATTATATGAAAAGTCTCAAGATAAAAGAAACATAATATACTTTCCTGCTTGTTTTTGTTAGTACATGTATAAAAGATATGTCATTCAGCTACATTATAACCACATACATGTAATATAAAGACCAATTTATCCAAGAGCTTCCTCTCCCCTACAGACCTTCTGGTTCTGTCTCTCTGATTTTGTATGACTTTCTGAGGGTACTGATCAGCTGAGGACTTACTTCCAAGTAATGGTGCTTTTAAAGGGGAGCAGTTATATGAGGTATACAGGGATTACACATATAAAAATATGGTTGTTTTCTAACTTACTAGTTAACATCATAACCCAATGAAAGCAAGTACAGAAACTAGTCAGAAGGCAAGTCTTCACAACACTTATGCTCCTTTTTACTTATTTCTGTGTATATTTGTCTTTGTGCTTCTATCCATGTCTGCAGGCAGAACTAGGCCTTAATGAGCACCACCAGAACGAAGCAATCAACTACATGCGCTTTGCTCGTTTTAAGCGTGGCCTGTGTCTCAAAACAGTGGATTCTTGTTTTCAGGACCTTAAGGACAGCAGGTACTGTGGGGGGTGATTCTGAGCAAGAATAAAGCAATATATGCTAGCAACAATTAAATGCTTTGTGGGACAACTTTTCTCTGTTTGTGTTCTTAGTAAGGAAGAAAGACCCAATAATTTTCCAAATGTTACAAGTCAAGTCCTTTTAAAACTAAGTTGTTCATATCCTTAGGAATTAATATAGATCTCGACAGAGTGACATTGCTGTATCTCTTGGTTCTCATGTCTAAATCTGATGCAAGTCTGTAGCTGAAGTAATGTTATAGTGCTTCCAAGAGAAAATTTAAATACAATAACCAATTAGTAGTGCTGTGGTGATCTAATAACTACTGACAGTGGATGTTTTCAGAAGGACATTGCATCATATAAGAGTGATAACTGTGTAGTGAGGTGTCGCAGCAATGCAAAATTGTTACCTTTATCATCCATGACTCATCTTGACTGCTCTGTTTAGACTTGTTGAAGAGACCTTCACAGTTGATGAGGTGACAGAGATGCTGGATGGACTGCGGACTGTTGTACATAGTGAAGTGGAGTCAGAGCTCATAAATACAACTTACACGAATGTTTTACTTCTGCGGCAGCTCTTTTCACAGGCTGAGAAATGGTACCTTAAGCTACAGACAGACGTCTCTGAATTGGAGAATCGGTAACATATACTGGACTATACAGAATGCCTTTCAATATTAAGAAAACTTAAAAGTGTTGACGATTTGCATTCTTTTCCTAATCATAGAAACATATTCTGTTGTATCAATGATAGGTTAGTTTCAAGTCTTCCATCTACAAAATAGCAAGATACACAATAATTTCAAATTTGTCAGGAAAATGTTTTTACTGGTGATATTCTTACTTGAATTAATCAGTTAAGAGCAGCTGATAGGGTTTGATTAAAAAGCCTTTGTTGTCTGAGTAGATCATATTTTAATCAAGGATGCTAAATTTTATAGTTCTGATGCATATATCATACCATTGCATATGATCTGTTGCATTTATTGTATTTGCATAGGACTTTATTCTGTACTTGTAACAATAATCTTGCATGTAATAAAGAGCATAGCATCAGCCTGGTAAAATATGTTTTGTAGTATAGCTCTTTTAGTAAATAAATACCTCCCTTCATTTTTCTTTTCAAGAGAATTGTTGGAACAGGTTGCTGAGTTTGAGAAGTCAGAATTTACATCCTCGAACAAGAAGGTAGAGTTTTATTTTAATCAAACCATAATCAAATGTCATGTGGAGTCATGACAGATATTTAAAATAGTACTGACTATTTGTGCTTAAGAGAGAAAAACAAAAACCCCACGCTTTTTCAAAACCATCTTTGAAAGTCTCCAAAAAGTACCGTTTTGCAGTTTGGCACCAAGGCTCACACTGACTAGCCATGGCTGTTTCTGGATTGCAGATTCTGCACATCTCAGGCATGCCTCATAATTCTCATCCCAAAGTCAGACAGGCCAGGGATGTGTTGGAGCATCTCTTTCTGGGTTCCCTTCGTCCTGGAAACTGGGGTGAGACTGGGACAGTGGCTTGTCCCAACATGGAGATGAGAGGATTCCATAATACAGATATGACTCTAGCTTATTTCATGTGATTATGGTTGCACCTTCTTTGGTTTGTAGCATAAAGGTATATTTAATTAATATATATTATATTTGAATGTTTAAAATAAGAAAATTATTGGAGCTGTGTAAATATTTTTCACTCTTACAATCATTCAAGTATTTTTTCTGTTTTCCTTACTCCTCTGTCCTTTGGTTGCTGCAGCATTGGTAGTCTTTTGTAAATTAAAGTTTGCAATCCTTTTACTTCTCTGTGAAGTGTTTTTGTTTAACATTAGTTGAAAGTGAAATATGTAATTTAGGAGACAAGGTACCAGTGAAAAATGAACTTGAAATAAAAGGTCATTTATTTGCTTTACAAAAGAAAGCTAAACTGGCTGTTGATACTTATTTTACAGACTGAAGGAATACTTTTCTTCCTCCTAATCTGCATAATTTTTTAACCTTTATTATTTCTTTAGCCCAGTGCAGATCTCATTAAACCAAAACTGGCTCCGTTAAATGAAGGTGGGTCAGAGCTGCTAAACAAGGTAAGAACTTGTCTGTTCATGCGGTTGTGGTCAATGGCCATTCTGCTTATTTAACTGAACTGGATACCTGTACAGTAATGTTTGTATAATGTGCCTATCACTATATAGACGTCAAGGTGATATACCCTGGAATGTAAAGTAACACGCTAATAAATTAATAAATATTGTAAGGCATCTTAAATTTATTGTGCAGTTATGGTCTCTAACATGCATTGCAATATTGATCTTCCTTTTGCAAAGACATTCCTTTGTCATTATTTATTTTTCCATTTAATGAGGTAAATCAGTAGAAACTACTATTCAGTTTGTTCAGTGTAGCTTTCCAACAAGGAGGTAAATTAAAATATGGAGCTAGCTGAAATGTCTTGATTATCAAACATTTTCTGTATCACTCAAAGTCAATCTTATCATGTTCAGTATTTTTGCTTTTGTTAATTGGTTAAATTCCTTCCAAAGTAACGGGCACTTAAAGAATTTGGAATTTACTAGTATTGAAAATGTCTTATTTCCCACTTGCTAAAGATTTTCAGAATTACAAAACATGTTCTGGTATTTAATGTTACCCGTAGTTTTTATTAGGAATTGAACTTGTTTAGTTTAACTGAACTTTTTGAAAATGCCACACTTCTTACAGTACACTTTTAAGTTATGGGCAGTCAAGATATTTAGTGAGGAGTTGTGTTTTCTGTCTTCTAGCCTACATTACCAAAATGATTTGTGTATCATCAAACAAGTATAGTGTCTGAATCACATTGTTGTTATCCACTGAGATAATTACAACATTCAAGAATTCAGACTTGTATTTTACTTGTAGAACAATGTAGTTATCTTTCAAAAAATAATTTCAAAATCTGTTTCATAACAATTTTTGTTGAATATGTGTGTCTGATGTCTTTTTTTTTTTTTTTTCCCCAAAATGGTTCAAAGTTTATATGGTGAATTTACTCTGATAAAACATTGTTATTTCCTGTGACATAAAACATGGCAAACCTGGTATATGTCTCTTTTCAACGGCAACTATGAAATTCTTACTTGCCTGTTGATTGAAAATACAAATGATGAGCAGCAATGAGATTTGCATCTCTGAACATGCAATTCACTTTATTGTGAATCTTGATACTAACAAGATGCTGAGCTCGTTAATCTCAATTCAGTAAAGCATTTGACAAATTTAAGTGAAGGGTCCCATATATTGCAGTAGAATTGGAGACTTAATTTTTTTTCTGAGGCAGAAAATACAATAAATAAATGGATTACTGATTTCTTATGAAAGCCATTTTTATAAACATTTAGAAGCTTCTTTGCTTTCCTAGGCTATGAAGTGTATTTTTTTACCTGAAATATTTTGAAAATTCAAAATAGTGCAAAAGTGTTGACAAACTTTTTCTTGTTCATTAACCCAAAGACAGTTGCTTGTCTCCAAGAAGAAAATGAAAAATTGAAGACCAGACTCAAGACCATAGAAACACAGGTAAATTTTCTGTAAGCTTGGGTACTTAATGCTGTTTGCATATTAAAAGATATCTAAATAAGAATCCCATGGTTATTATTCTTTTCAATTTAAGTATGTTTCTGAGGCTTTACATTTTCAATGTCTCACAGGCTACAGCTGCGCTAGATGAGAAGTCCAAGCTAGAGAAGTCACTGAAGGATTTACAGATGATCCAAGGAGATCAAAAGGTAAATATAATTAAGATTCCCCCCTCCTAGTTTAACATGGCTGTTGCCTGTTCATCTAAAAAGTTGGTCCGTATGGTGTGATTATTTTCTGGGAAATAGAAAAGTTCAAGTTAATATTGTCATGTTCCTGCTGACATTGTCTGTTTCTGCTGGTCTGTCAGTCAGCAAATAATCCAGAATGTTAGCTGATGTTATGACATGTATTTTGTGTTACATAGACCATCATAAATTAGTATCAGAAAGTATTCCAGATACTATCAGGAAGTGGTATTCCAGAGTTCATATTCTCAGCAGTAATATTTGTATTAACAGATACAAATTTATTTCTGTCTGTTTCTTCACATTTACTAATGAAAGAATGATCTCTAACCTGGTTTTTGTAGTAGCAACAAAACACTAATTCTTTCAAGCATTTGTCACACTTGATATTGACATGGACAAGCCAGACTTGCTGCTTCTCACTTCAGACTTTAAAAACCTAAATACTTACATGTAAGTGTCCAGTGTCCTGTATTCTTGAACATCAGTTGAAGTTTTACTACAAATGTCAATGATCATGTGTCAGATGGCAAATGTTTGATTTTTGTGTAGTTCAACCCATGTCCGTGTACTGTCAAAAATAGTTCACTGGTTATTTTTATTACTTGAGGTTCTTAATCCTTTTTGTAAATCAGAATTCAAACATGGTGAGTTGCTGCTGCAGAAAAAAAAAAAAAAACAAACAAAAAAAACATAAGAAGCTAGAAGTCACAGAGGTTGACATGAATAAATCTGTTCAGGTCACCTTAGTATTTTTTTAAGTTTGTGCCTTTATTTTATAAATATTTAGAATTTTCTAAAGTTTGTTCATATGTGATTGTTTCTTAAATTTAAAACATTTCAGTTCAAACTTTTAACAAAATTAGAACAGTTTAATCCTATTATTTTGAGAAACTGACTTTTTAAAATTCCTGCAGCACTTACAGATTTGGAAGTGAAGTTCAGTATCATAAAACATTTCCACTTCAATTTTCATATTTTAATCCTTATTTCTTTTTATTTTGCTTTCTAACTGGTTTATGGTATGTACTTGGCTTTCTTAATGTGTTAAATTTTATCTAGTAACAAAATCTGTATTCAATTTTATTATTTAATAGGGAACTTGATTTATCAGTCATGGCAGATATTTTCTTTATCTGTTTTGTTAAACCTTAGATTATTATCAAAGGTTTAAAATATTAAAGAGGTTTATTACATCCTGGATAGTAGTGTTTGTAGTTTTAAAAGATCGGAACCAAATCTCACCCTACTTTTCTGGTTAAACATGAATTGGCCCCAATGTCAGGGCTGCTGAGTATCTTCAACTTTCCTGTCCTAATTTGCTCTCTGTAATTGTCACTTTCTTCTCCAGCTCTTATTTTCTATTTATGGGCATATATATGTTGTTGAAACTAGCTAGTAGATACAGTGCTGAAATGTACTACATCATTTAATCAGTTTAGTTGTTTGGAGAAAATGCTGAATTTAATCTGGTTTCACTCCATATTTTTATAGGATGGGCATCAGTGAAAATCATATGAACCCAGTTGCTCATTAAAGCGGTAGTTTTTAGCCTCTTTGGACAAACAAATTACTGCCAAACCACAGCGGTTCTTAAGGACCAACTCTTACCTCGGCAGATTTCTACCTTTCTTTTTTAATTTGTAATAGTTAATATGGTGCCAGACACCAAGTGTGAACCGTGGTTTGCACTCGAGTAACTGCTCTGTTGGATCAGTTTAACTTGAGGATTTAGAATTTTTACATAATTGACTCCTGTCACAGTTTAGAGAAACGATCACTGTGTATTCTGATCTGAAACATACAGTGTAGTGCTTTTCAGCATTGTGGCCTTGGACTCTGTCTCAAAATTCAAAATAAGCTTTTCTTCTGCACAGGTACTATTAAGCGGTTTCCTATGCTCAAATCTTAGCTTCCACATAAAAAAAAAAAAGGAACAGAGCTTCCTTAGTTTTAGATTTTTGTTCTTTTTAAGGTGCTGCTGGTTCACCCTTATCCTGAGTCATTATACTCTTGAGAGTTTGAAGTTGAGCTTTTAAACGTGAAAGGGCAGTTCTTTTTAAATGGAAATCCATAGAACAGTCACATGAGTATAGTGTTTTGTGACCCAGAACTGATGGCCAGAAGAGTTTGGGTTGTTTCTTCTCACAAGAAAACAGGAAAGTAGCTTCACAGGCTGCTGTGGAGGCTCTTTTTGTAATGCATCTGAGAACAGTGCAATATCAATACCTGACAGATAATATGAGCCTGAACACTTTCATCCTTTCTTACCTGTGTTACGCTAATGGTTTTTGAAATGCCTGTGATATTTCACCTGCTTTAAAAATAAGTTACAGACATTCAGATCTTAAGCTATTTCTGTATACTAAATAACTTCTTGTGATATGCTTCATCCTGTGGCTTCACCTAATTCCTAAAGTGAAATACAAGAACTTGAAATCTCAACTTGGCACAGAAGACATTCCAGCCATCTTTAAAATGCATTTATTAACATTTTTTTAAAGTTCTAAATTAGTGCTTTAACTAATTATTATTATTTTTTTTTTAATCAGAACACTGGTAATTTAGACTTTACAGGAATAATGTGAACATAATTATTAAAAATGAAGATGTAGCCACTTTATGTGAAATTTTGCACTTGACATTTTAAATATTTCTTTTCTTGCATTTGACGTACTTAAAATATTTCTTCTGTTGAAGACTAATGAAAACCAGGACATCACTGAACTGGAAAATAAAGTGGCAGCTTTGAAATGCCAGTTTGAGAAGACTTTGAATGACTCTACTGCAAACCAAAAATTCTTGGAAGAGAACTTGGCGACAACAAAACATGACTTGCTGAAGGTTCAGAATCAGCTGTCCACAGCTGAAAAGGTTAGCGTTTTTCTGTAATGTAAAGATGATATCCTTACTCACATTTTAACTGATCAATAGTTTAACAATTATACACTACAGAATGCAGTTTATGGGGTCACACTTGTGCCTGTGTATTTTTGTTACTTCAGTGGAAAAGCACATTATACGTAAAATAGCAAAACCACAACTAACTGCATGGTTATAACTAGACGAATACTTAAAAATTGCCCATTTGTCTGCATAGAAATTTTTGAATGAAAATTATATTCCCAGTCTTCAGAAGACTTTTAGCCTAATTTAATTAGAAAATAAAGTTTTTGTTTCTCTGTCTCTCCCAGTAATTTCATTTGAATTCACTAGCTGACTTCATCAAAGTTCAAGTAAGTTAGAGAAACTGCTATTCTGAAACTTGAGGAGGAAAAGCAAGTCATCTTTTTAAAAAAAAAAAAAAATTAGCCTGGTTTTCATAATATGTAAATAATATGTTGATGTTGTTATTATGTAGGAATTGGAGAAGAAATTTCAGCAAACAGCTGCCTATCGCAACATGAAGGAGATTCTCACTAAGAAGAATGAGCAGATAAAAGATCTACGTAAAAAGCTTTCCAAGTGAGTGGTGCTCTTCTGTCTGTCCAACCAGGATCCTTGTTCTGGGTACATGTTCTGCTCCCATTTGTTTTTAAAAATATGAAGCTGTCTCAGAAACAGACTATAAATTTTTCCTTATAAAGAATTTCTCGCGGGCTGTTCCCTGATTTTTGACAAGCCAACCCCTTTAATGAATGCTGGGTGAATAGCAACTGATGTGTGCAACAGCAGCTACTGTATAGCAGGTAATGAGAGAATTTAGTGTGGGAAGAATACAAAATATTCATAGGTGTGGTAGATGAGCCCCTGGGTGCTATACACAGATGGGAAATGGACCAGATGCTTTGGCTTTATCTTATTTCTTCCACACTTGTTTATGTGAGTGAGAAGTCCACAGTATGTAAACAGTGTTAGGCCTGTACTGAGTAAAGAAAGATGCACCCTGCCCATTGTATTGCGTAGAAGACTATCACTCTGCATATGTCAGGTGAGCTTTGGCAGCATGGATGCTTTAGACCTGTGTTGTAGGAGGACAGAGTTGAAACTTGAAACTTCTGGTTAAATTTCTGCCTGTATTTTGGGATTTGTGGGTAGGTTCCTGTTCATTCCCTCATTTGACTATTTGGTAAACTGGCCAATTTTAAAAAAGATAAATTAGTCTAAAACAGATATACATTTGTCTGTGTCGCAAGTCATGCAGTGAGCCTTGACAGGGATGCGTCACTAATGGGAGTAATTTATTACTTGGGTGTCATATTCTTTAGAGACAAAATGTCTCAGGTATTTTCTACTCTGATTTAATGATTTTTTTAATATACTTTTTTTAAATCCTCAGGTATGAGCCAGAGGACTAAAATACCAAAAACATCTGATCTATCAGAAGCTGCCATAGAAAGATGATCTAGACTGGTATTATTTTTCAATAATTTTTGTTTTGAATGGTATATTTTTTGCTTCTAGTGCTTAAAATAACTTCTTATTAATAGTAATAACACGATGAAACTTCTACCTTACTTCTTTGCAAACCTACAATTTATAGGTATTATAAACTATATAATATAATAATATAATATAAAACCTATTATAAACTGTAGGTATTAGTTTCTGTAGTCATGTTTTTAATTGTTAACCACTGACATTCCTTGAGAAATAGCAAACAGGAGCTTACTGAAGAGCTGAGATCATTCTCTACAAAGAAAGGAGTTTATTTTTGTTAAGAAAAGAAAAAAAAAAAAAGAAAAATAATTAAGCATTAGAGTTTTGTTAATGTGGCCATGAAGTGGCATTATATGTGAAGATTCCATCAGTGGAAGTAAAAAATAAGAGGAAAAAAATGAAACACGTTGATTCTGTAATGTTATTTCACACTGGACATGTCATACCTCAGCAAAATGCGGTCAGTAACATTTTGCTAGAAGGGTGTTCTTTCAACAGTGAGGTAAAAATGCATTATAGCAGAAGTGCTGGACCTTTCAAATACAGCCACTAATTGAAGCTGCACTTTTTCATTTGACTTTATTTGAAACAAATTTGAACATCAGAAGATAGATTCTGATTTTGCCAGTATTCTTAACGTGAAGATGATGATCTGAAAACACATAGGGAAGTTGTTAGTGGAGCAACTTTCTTGGAAAGTAAGTTATTTTAGATGTTTTCATCTCCTTTCTTGATGTAACCTCACCAGAAAACAGCTTACTTCTCTCAGGTCTTTTACTTGTATTCCTCTGCCTTGCATTTATCTGGCAGCCTCTTAATAGTGCATTCTACTTTTCATCTGTCCCTGTTTGTATGTATGTTGTATTTTACTCCCAATAAAGCTATTATGTTTTCCAACACTTAATCTTTAAGGAGCTGTTTCTTTATAGGAGTGTTTTGTATAGCTTTTTTTTTATTTAATACCTGCAGAAAGGAGTGGCAGAACAGTAAAGAATCTTGCTAGAAATGCAAATATGTAAATTACAGATTCATGCTCAAAACCAGACCACGTCAAACAGCTGTAAAAAAAGTGTGACAGTGGCAGAGCTGGAAAAAGGCTGGGGATTGTGTGTTACAGAAAATGGCATTTAAGAGTACTTGTGTCAGGAGCTGCTTGAACTGAAATGGATCATTTTTCCTCATTCTTTCTCAAATGGGCAAAGCTGTTAAAATAGCTCAAGCAGTGATACCCCGGTCAAATCTGTCATACCTTTGCAGTCTATAAGTTCTTTTGTTGTCCTTTTCCCCCCATTGGTTAAGCAAGATTGGTTTGGGATAAAGTCCTGGATCTGTGACATGATATTATTGCTGTAGCACAATAGTAGGGCTTTATGGGGTGACATACTCATGATGCAGTGTCAGTTAAATTCATGAAAGGTATTATTTTGCACCTTGTACAGTCACTAAAATGTTAAGTTCTTAATAGGTATGTACCAGAGAGCTTTTGGGCTTGTGTTTGCTCAGCGCAGTTATGCTGACACCAACAGGAATACTTGTCTGGGTGAATATTGTGTTTTTCTTTGTAATAAAACTAATTTTAAGAAGATCAGTTACGTTTTCTAAAATGGCAGGTAAAGGGTGAAGAAAGGCAGAGAATCTCATGACTTCTGCTGGCCTTCTCTTTTCTGATAAAATTTTGGCTGTTGGTTTAGCTAGAATATTGACTCTGTGATATACCTTCATGATCTGCTTAGAAACCATCTCAACAAGAAAGATCACTGACAGCTTCAGGTGCCAGTGAAATAAGTTGGCTGTAGGCAAGTGTGGTTACAGACCTTGCTATCTCCTCAAATGAATAAGGTAAACCTTGTAGAGTACTGTGCAGTGCAAAATTGAAACACTGACTTTGTTTGCCTGTCTTACAGATTGCCAGTTTAGTGTGTATGAGATCAGTGTGGTGCTCTCATTGGTTTCTGTTGCACAATGGCTAAGTAAAGGTCTTGTGTGGAGCTCTTGATGAAAAATACATCATCTGTCAAAGATGCTGTACTGTCAAAGAAGACCTGGACATTATACAGTAGTGATTCTCTTTTTATTGAGATAAGTACGATATTTTGAATATGGAGAATGGTATCTGAACCTCTCCTGACAGTGCCTGTTGTTTCTAAAACTTCGCTTCTTTCCCTAAAGTGTAAATTCTAATACTGCTTTTACCAGTCTTTGTTCTTCAGAAGTTTCTTCTACTGCTCAAATAGACATCATCCATTTCTTCTACTTCAACTGTTAATTCCCTAGTTATGCCCAAAGGGAACATTTAAAAAGAAAACTTCTCTATAACTGGCTGATGTGCAGGAATCAAATCTCTTTCAAGCTGGGTGGTTTTTTTTTTTTTTGCTTGCAGACTAAAGAATATTTTCTATAGGAATGAAATCTAGGCAGCTCAGCTTCTCTAGTGTTGACTCTGACAGCTAACAAACAACCCTGTGCTCTAACTGTGACTGGAATTCAGTGGTTGGTCATTAATAAATGAGCCAGCAGTGCTGCGTGCTGCCATCTTAATGAGACAGTATGTTACCTGGTGTTCTTTAACTGTTCATAAAGTATTCCTTAATCTGTTTTTCTCTTGTGGATAATAGCCATTTTTTAAAATGTCCTAAGATGAATACTAATATATATTAACACTTAAACTACAAGTGCTTCTCTTTATTTCCCAGACTGATGTAAGGACAGCTGTAATTTGGACATTTCCCACATACCTTGTTTTTGGGAAACCCCCAGTCATGTACCAAGCACTTAAGATTTCAAACTAGCCAAAAAGTTCTTAAGATTCCTGTTTGATTTCCCTCTTTTGACATTATCAGGCATGGCTCTTGGCTTCTGTGTGATACAAAATGCTGTCAGACCACAGTGAAAAGATTCTTACTGCCTCAGGAAACAAGTGGCTGAATGAATCAAGCTTAAAAAGTTTGATCTATTGTAGGAGGACGTGCCTTTTTAAAACATATTCAAAAACAATTTTATATAATTTGAAGGTAAGTTTGTATGTGGGTAGGGAAGAATTGTTATCATAGTTTTTATTGTAAATGTTTCTAACTGGCTTTGAGCAGAGAATGTGTTCACGGGAGTTACCTCGTAATTGTTCATTTTGACAATGTGCCAGTGAAAGCATTGGCCCAGGATTCTTGCCCTGTTCTGGCTGCCTGCAGAGTCTCCCTGAAGGCACCTAGATCCGCCCTCCTTACCAGTCTCCTCTCGGACATAACCTGAAACATTAGGCAGCCTGTTCAGAGTCAACTCTTCTCCACCTGAAGGTGGGTAGATACATGTCATTCTGTTTCAGCAGTCTTAATATCTAGAGACTTTTATTTTTTAACTATTTTTAAATTATTATTTTTAGGAACCTATTAATACAGTGTCTTGGAGCGTCCATTGTAAGTAATGGTGATGCTGAGTGGTTGGTGCAGGGCTGTGCCAGGGCAGCTCAGGGCTGACAGCTGCTGGTGAACAAGGGAGCTGCCTGGAGACCTCCCCAAACTGCTGGCAAGCTTTGCCAGAGAGAAAGCACGAGCTGACAGAAGACGAGCAGATGAACTGACTGAATAGGCCAGGTATCTTTTTTATTTTTGTGAGGTGCCAGTTTGTGGCTCTTTTGTTTTACACAGGGCAGTTCTAAGGTCTGGGTGAATTGAGTGAAATTCAGTGAAGCAGTGTTGAATGCACCTTCATGGAGGGACTACCCTAAAAAAACACTCACTCAGAAGATGGGTAGAGCTGTAATGCTAGAGAAAAACAAGGGAAATAAAAAGAGGAACTTTTCTCAGGCATGTTTTTCTTGGGAGGCTGAGGTAATGCAAAACAGTTTTAAGAGTGGTCAAGAGGTTGAATATGATTTCAGGGTACAGACCTTAAGGGCATCATCTACAGTTTGGAACTAAGCAGTAAGTAGTAGTGATGAGCTGGAAGGAATAATTGCAATTATAACAACTGCTTAGAGGAGTAACTGTAATCACCAATTTACATGTAGAGCTATCACTCAACAGTTGTCATGGCCTGTGAGTTGTCAAAGATCTGGAAATCCAGCTGGATTCTTTCTTTTTTTCTAAAGTAAGGAAACATGAAGCTTAGCGTAGCAACTATGACCAGTGAATCCAAACATATGTGGGAGCTGCTACTCTCTTGGCTGTATATCTGCTTCCCTTGATAGCACCACTAAACATTTGTAAAGGCTGTAGAGACTCTTCCATCACTTCTCTTTGATAATCACCTAATACGCTAACAGCCAGCATGTTTCCATTTGGAAGTGAGTGTCTCCAGGAACGGCAGATACTAAACACCAGAGCTAGTCCCTGCTGACACTTTGTCCCCCTCCCACATGTCTGGCTCATCAAGGAATGCCCAGAGGGTTTATTTTTAAATCTAGGGAGTTATAGTGCTGCATATAGGATGTAGCATAAGAAAGTCCACACTACCTGGTAGAATTATCTAGGAGTTGTCTATACCAGAGTACTTCCTCTGCTGCTTATTATTCCTTCCTCGTTTTTCGTTCTTTGCCAACAGAACTGTTCAGCTGCTCTCACACCCTCAAATCATGGTCCCCAACCCATTATTAGGACCCCAGACTCCCTTTTTGTCTGCATTTTAAGTAGCTGGGAGAGGCATTTGGCTTCTTATTGTACTGGCATCAAGAGATGCAAGTCCAGGATTTTTAGTTGGTACCTTCAACTTAGTACTTCCAGTTTTGCTTCAGTGAGAAATGGGATCCTCTGCTTTTTTTACGAGCTTCTGGTTAGGTTTACATAGGGCAATTCTCATGCTGTCCTATCAGTTCCTGGCCTGCTGTGGAGATGAACACCTGCCCTTCTCACCTCCTCCCTCAGACCTCAGTCTCTCAAATTTTTTAGGCACTGTGGAAAAAAATTCTTTCTCATCCTCCTTTAACATGAGTAGTGAAATGATCAAAATTTGTTGCATGTGTCTGTTAGACACTTAGTCCCTAAAGAGAAAACCCAAGTTCTCCCCCAATCCAAAGGAAAGAAGTTCAAAGGAGATAAAATATTGAATAGTATCAGAAATAGCATATTGATTATCTGAGGAAGGTCCCACAGCAAGAATTCCTGAGTGTAATCTATTTAAATACCTTTAAATATAGTTAAAGCCTGTCTCTGGAGGAGCCGTGGGATGACAGGCACTTTGCTGGGTGCCTATATGCATGACCACCTTTTAAAAAAACCTCATAGTAGTTTGTGATGCAAGATGCTTGTGAGACTGACATCTGTGAGTGAGGCAAGGATTCGTTTCACTGCATCTGAACTTCCTGATCAGGCCTGACCTGAGCTGAGGACACCACACTTCTCTGCCTGCACAGTCTCCCCAGTTCATTAATATGAACTAGTTTGAAATGTAATGGTAAGGCAGTACGGAGCCAAGGAAATGTTTAACTTCATTATACTCATCAGTAGCAGTAATCTATGCACACAGAAGCATCCCAAGTGTTAGTGATGTGCTATTTTTTAAGGCTGTTCTATCTGCGAGTTATTAAATGCTGTAAGTTATTTATAGGCATAATTTGTACTAAATCCCACAGGCAGTGATGGACATTTAACTTTTTAATAATTTGCAAAAATTTTTGTGATGCGGGACAGCTAACGTATCTGTATCTTCTCAGTGTGCATCCTCCAGTTTAATAGCTTACGGATTTAAAATCACCTTGGATTTTTACTTCTAGCAGAATCCAGAATTATCCATGAGACGTGTTCCCTGGGCTAGCTGGCACGTTGCAATTCTGCGGGCAAGACAAGAACTGCAAGGATATTGCAGAGGAGCCATGAGAACCCTCAAAACTGTACTCTGTACAGTGGCATACCCTGATGTTCTCCAGTGACAACCTCCATTTGTAGCAGCGCTGAAACACACTGTAGCGAATGGATTCACTTATGGGAGGTACATAAACTTCTTGCACCTTTTCTAACGTGCAAAAAAGTGGCATCCTACTTTGTGACTTCACTACTTTTGTTCTACTGGTCTCAACAATGCTGCAGGACACACGCTGCAGTTTGGATTCATGTCCAAAGGCCCCATGGTAGGGGTTCTTGCCCATACCCACAGCTGGATGCCTTGGCTCTGCCACAGCCTGATGGGATGCTGGAGCAGCACACACAGTGCTGCCAGGGAGCAAGTTCCTGATGCTGGAGGAGTGAGACTGACAGCAGCTGAGTGAGTCCTACTTGTAAAATGGACCTGGAAGGTGCCCAGTCCTGGCTGGAAAAAAACACAGTTGGACAGGGGAAGGAAGCTGAGTCCTTGGACTCGTTCATCCCATTTTTACTGCTAGAGATGCTACCGGCAGCCTCCTTCACTGGGAGACCTGTCTGAAGTGGTTGAGCTCAAAGTGTGCCTTGGCAGGGCCCCAAGGGCACTGGGGTCATGTTCAGACCTGGTGTCTCAGGGTGCATTCAGACGACCCAAAGGCCTCCTCGGTCCTTCTGCCTCCACATTGGGCTACAGACACCTTTTCCCAGTGGCCTTTGTATATATCTGGTCCCTGCTGCTTAAAAGTATTTTAAAACAGTAACTCCTGAGAAAAGTTTATCTGCAGCAGTGGGGTTTGAGCATGAAGGTAAGTGTAAAGACACTGGGCTATTTCACTCGCACATGTTCAGAGCATGTAGAGGGAGGGTGTTGTTCCCAGAGGGTCAAACTTGAGTGTTGTACTCAAGGCTGCAGCAGGGTGGGGACCTGCATGGTAGACAGGGACGGTTTCAGGGCCACTTTTGGAACTGGGGAGTGTGCTGGGCTGGTTGGGGTGAGCTCCAGGGCATGAGTGATAGCCACTGAGCCTGGCCCTAATGGTGCAGGAACCCCTTCCCTGTGCTATCACATCCAAATTGGTGCCTCGTGCACACAGATGCCACTGTTAGGGAAGAGAGCCCTGTGAGGAAGGAGTGTCCTGTTTCCAAAACCAAACTGCAGCCCCAGTGTTATTTCCTCTCAGTGTCAAGTCAGCACGTGAGCCGATAAAAATCCCTGGGCTCACATCCTTCCCAGAAATGCCAGTCAAAACCCAAGCAGCTATTCACCCAAAGTACCAATTTTATAGTTCTGTGTGTGTCTATAATCTATTTACCAGCATTCCTACTTCAGTATGTGCCTGTTAATAAGATTAGCAATTAAAAAGCCTGATAGGAATTGGCAAGCATAACTCCTCCACCGTTCCCTCCCCTCCAAGCCGGGCTGGCGTGGAGTCTGGGGCAGGGCTGGCAGAGTACCTGAAGGAGTGAATGCAGAAAGGCTCTGCTGAAACCTCTGCCTGCAGTAGGCAATGGAGAAATCCCGGCCACTGTGGGACAATCCCCTGCAGTTTGTTTTTGCCTGCATTTCCTATGCCGTGGGGCTGGGAAATGTGTGGAGGTTTCCATACTTATGTCAGATGTACGGAGGAGGTAAGTGTGGTTTATGTTTCTTGCTTCCCTTGAGGAGGAGTGTGGCACGCCTTAAATCCAAAAGTATGTTGTCCATGCTAACGTCCTGTCCACCCAGCAGGGTCCAGGGCAGAGCAGGAGGTCAGGCTTTTTGTTGATGTGCAATCTCTTCTATTGCTGCTTTATTTTAACATGGTCTTTTGCATAAGGCTTTTACCTGACAGCCGCCCCAGTACAGTGGCACTCATTTCCTAGAAGTGCAATGAAACAGTGGGAAGGCCCATGTTTTCTAAAAGGATGGAGGTAGAGTAAGAGATGTAGGTCCACATGATATTAATTTATTACTTTCTTGCCCCACTGAACCACGCTGAAGGCATCAGAAGCTAGTTCAGTTCCTTGTAGGTTCATGTATGGGGACTTGGAACATACTGAGAAGGAGAGATGCTTACACTGATTTAATTTAAGGATCAGCTGTATCATTTCAAGTTTCTCTTGTTAATGTGTTGTCTTTTATACAAAGCCTTACTTTAGGAGGTGATATCTTGGCTGCAAATCTTCTTTGAAGTTGGCTGGAGCTCCTTAATCAACAGGAGTTCCACAGCAAAAGCCTCCTGGGAAGCTTTGAAAGCAGGAAATAAATTGGTTTGGGCCCCCCAAAAAAAGCTTTTTGAAAGTTTATCCTCCTAGGTCCAAACTGAAGGAAGATGACGTCTGTATCATACCAGCCACAGATGTTCTTCCTTAGAAATCAAATATTAATTAGATTAATTAAAAACCAACACTAATAATCTAGTATACAGCTACCACTGATTCGTGACCACGTTCTTAAAACTCCTTATTAAGAGCCTCTCTTTATAAGACATCCCAGTTTTATACTGCTTCTCACACTGCATCTGCTGTCGTAGCATTGCACCCATCTCAGTTGTGCATTAAGTGACACAATGAGCGTCTGCCTCATTTGCTTCTCATCTTCTTCTGCCTTTTCTGCCTTGCAGAAAGAAACACACTGTGATGTTTAAGTGCTTTGTGCTTGTTTTGTTGGCTTGTAGCTTATTTCTAAATGCACATGTCGTGGTAGGAGTTGTTCGTGCCGGGTTTTGAAAAGCCAAGCTCAGTGCTGGGACTGCATCAGAGCTGCTTCATGGGATCAGGCCAGAAAAGTCCAGATAATATAGTGGGTGAAGTTACAGTAGAAGATAGGTGCTGCGGTGGTTGAGGCTTTCTTACATGGGTCAGATAGTAGAAGTCATAGACATGCTGCAATTCTGGGTGTATTCCTCTACACGGATGCTTTTGAGGGTAAAGGCTTCCTGTCTGACACTGAACTCTAGCACAAAGCTTAAAATGCAAGTGTTTCTGTACACAATTAAACTGCACGTGATTAGTCCACTAGCAGCCTACCTTGGCAGGCATCCTGAAGGGCAGCAACTCAGGCAGTGGGGCGCTTTGCGTGGTTTCGCCGCTTCTTTTCAGCCATCAGTAGTGCAGCAGATGGCGAAAATTCTCTGAAATGTAATCAAAACTGGAACACTTGATTAACCTGAAAAAAAGCTTAGTTAAACCCAAGTATTTTCTGAATAGCATGTTTTTATAAGAATACTTTCTCCACTCTTTTTATCCTCCCTGATTAAATTTCTTAGGGAAGAGGTAGCTCTCCCTTCTGTGAAACTAAAACTCCTGACTGCAGGCTTTGCTTTTCTTAATTGTTTTTCACTGCCCTCTTAAAAAGGATTCGTTGGCCTTCCCAGGGTCTGCAAACCCCACGCAGACAAAACATCATTTTGGGAACTTAAAAGCTGGATATGCCAGGCACTGGGCTTAGGGGGGATGTCAGCAACTGCTTGTTTGGCATCTTCCTTGTAGAAAAGCAGAAAGCCAGTCCCTGTCCTGCCCAGCAGAGCAGTAGGGCCCTTATCAGTGATGATATTCCTAAACAGGATATTTGCAGACTTTATGACCTCCTGCCTTTCCATTCCTCAGCAGATTGCCTCCTTCCCCTTGCTCTCCTCCAGAGAGCTTGACCTGAGCAGGGAGGGGTTCAAACCTTGTAGGTGCAGTCAGTCTGTCTGTAAGGAGGCTGGGCCAGACCAAAGCGACCCTGGGCTGGGTTTACAGCAGGGTGGGTGCTCAGCCCCGAGCGAGGAAGCCTCTGGGCACCAGGCAGGATGCTGAGCAGAGGGGAGGGTGCCGCTGGCCAAGGCCGGTGCCCCAGCCAGACTCGGAGCATGTTCCAAGTGTTGTGTCAACTTCAGGGGTCTGGCCTGCGGGCTGGTTTTCGCAGGTGGTTGGCACTGTGGGGAGCAATGTCGGGTGCAAATGAGCAGGGGCATCAGTGGAGCTTTGCTGGTTCATAGTGGATAATGAGCTGGTTCATACAGCTGCCTTGGGACACTTACACAAGGCCTTTTGGTTCTACCCCTTAGGAAAAGTAGTGTTGGGAGCAAGATCTGCATGCAAACGGGGTGCAGAGCAAGGGGCAGGGGGCTCAGCCCCGGCACCCCCAGCTGCAGGGGAGACATTGGGGTGAAGAACAAGCTTGAAGGCACTTCTCCTTGCAGGGTGGCAAAGCCAACACCAAGCACGTGGCAAAGCTGCTGGCAGGGCAGAAAAGGCCCTTCGCAAAGGGCCTAATGCTGATTCTCCCCATGGTACATGTCAAAACTCCCCTCAGTGGCTGCTGGGGCAGCTCACACCCTGCTGGGACAGAGCAGCTGCAGGAGCTCTTGTACCTCCGACAGCTCCCTTGTGGCATAGGAAGTTACCTAACAGACTAACAAAGGGGTTGTTAATAACGAGAGAGCTGGGAGGTGGGAAATTAATTCCCAGAATAAACCGGATTATTGCTTTGTGTTTATTTCCAGTTCTTTGCCTCAGTTGCTGCCCGGAGTTCATTCCTTCCCAGCGCTTCACAGAGCCCATTGCAAGGAATGTTAATGCTGCAGATTAAATCCTAAATAAGAGATATTTACGTAAATATTTTTGGCTTGCTGTAAAAAGGGAAGCAGGAAAGCCTCCGCAAAAATCCAGGTTTTGACTCAGTCAGCAGCTCTTTCTGAAGTGAGCCCCAAGTCAAGGACAAGGATATTATTTTTTTTTTCTAGGAGACATTTAGGCTGAAGTGCATCCTGGTTGCCAGGCAGGAAGGTCCTTTCCCCTCCCTCACTGCCCTCCTGCCCATTCCTGCTGCTCCTTCCACAGGAGCATCCCTGTGGCTTTCTGTGCCGGGGCAGCAGGGATGGGCAGACCTCGGACAGGAGGAGACTGTGTGCCTCCGTCCCAGGGTCTGCTCCTGCAGGTGGGACCCTGGGGGAAAAGCCTTCACCCCTTTGCTTGTACTTGCAGCCTCAGCATGAAGGTTTTGGGGAGCTTTTTGGGTTGTGTTTTTTTTTTTTTTTTTTTTTTAAGCCAGGCCAGGCCTCAATATGTTACTCAAAGGTCTCTATTCAACACGGACGCAGTTGTTACCTTTCATTGAGCATTTTGGCTCTGCCACAACATCGCTCATGAAGTAAACCTTTCATTATCTTTTACAAGGTTTGGCTGATGATTAGTTACCCTTCAACAGCCCTGGCCCCGAACATTGCTCAAACCGCCCACAAAGCATATGGGCAGCCCTGTCGTGCCAGGGTGGCAACTGTCACAATTTAACAGCAGAAATCCCAGCTCTGCCAAGTGCCTGAGGAAAATTTCCTGTGCCCAGGTGTTCGGTGCCCACTGGCATCTGGGACACCACCTGAAGCCCCATGAGTTGTCCCTCAGGGTTCGGCCATGCCCTCAATATGCAAAAAAAAAAAAAAAATCAAACCAACATACAAAAATACAGGACCCAGCCCCAGCCAGCTCCTGGGACACTTAAAGCGGTGATTTGACCACAAATAGGGCAATGTGGTGTTTATTGTGCTGCTGATCTGAAGGCTGTCTGTTGGGTTTTTCTTGCAGGGGGATTTTTGATCCCATATTTTATCATGCTGATCGCCGAGGGGATGCCGCTGCTCTACTTGGAGCTGGCTGTGGGGCAACGCATGCGTCAGGGCAGCATCGGAGCCTGGAAAATAATAAGCCCCTACCTCTGCGGCGTTGGTATGTTCTCAGTTTTCATCTTTATTTTTAAGCACCTGGGGAACATGGGTGATTTTTTGAATGGAGAACTTTGTCTTTCAGAGAAGAAACCAGCCAGGAGCTGGGGTTTTACTGGGTCTCGCCAGGCTTATCCAGACACTGCATGGCACACATTTACCCCATCCCTTGCGGGGCATTGGGGCCAGACCCCAACTTGCTGTGCTGGGTCCCTGGACTTGGAGGTGTGAGTGCCCCTGCACTCAGGCAGATTGCAAAAATCACGGTGTGAAGGCTAGTGCTAAACCCAGCCCCTTGGGATGCCTGCACTGAGCTTTGACCCCAAGAGCATCTTCCCAATATGTTCAACATGGAGTGATAAAACTGTGCCTTAATCTCCTGCTGTTGCTGCCTACCAATGTCCACTCTTAGATATATTATTATGTTATTAAATTACCTTGATAACCCAAGATACCATTAATTTGTTTACATGCATACTGTATTTTTAACGATAAATTGAATATTCCCCTCCCAGGGGCTAAAGCATAAATTCCAGTGCAGGATAGCCCTGATGGGAGGAGGAGCTGGTGGCTGCAGTGGTGGGGGCACACCCCGTGCTATGCAGAAGCAAACCCACCCCACGCCAGCCTCAGTGCCCCTGCCCCTGACATTTTGGGGTTTCACTGCTGACCAAGAGCCTCTCTCCATGCCCACAGGCGTCGCCAGCGTCGTTGTGTCCTTCTTCCTCTCCATGTACTACAACGTGATCAATGCCTGGGCCTTCTGGTACCTCTTCCACTCCTTCCAGGTGCGTGGGTGCCCGGTGGCACGGCTCGGTCCTGCCGTAGCCCCGTGGAGGGTCGTGGTGGTTTGGCATCAGTGCTGGATGATGCATGGCACCATTGGCAGCTGGGCGTGGGGGGGACAAAAGCTCCAGAAACCCTTCCAGGGTTTTCTGAGGGGAAAAATGAGGCAGTGGTGTTCCCTTCTGGGGTGTCCCCAGGGTCATTGGGGTGTCTCCTCCTCACCATGCAATGAAAGTCAAGGCCAGCCCTGTGTTGCCTTGCTCACACGTGCCTTGGTGGCCGCGGTGTCCTGCACCCTGGGATGGCCCTGTCTGAAGGCAGGGCAGGGGGCTGGCCCTGTGGGAGAGGGTCTGTCCTCAGGGAGAGAGTCACTCTGGTCGTCCCCAGGGAAGGGAGGCGGAACAGATCGGTCCTTTGGGAGAGGGTCATCTCTGAGGAAGAGAGGAGGGAGCGGGTCTGTCCTTGGGGAGAGGATCAGAAAGCATCAGCCCCAGGGGAGAGGGTCAGAAGAGATTGTCCCCGGGGAAGAGGGTCATCCCCAGCCCCAGGCAGCCCAAGGTGGGGACAAGCAAGCCCCGAGCAGAAAGCTGCCCTCGCGTTCCGGCACCCCGGCTCTCCCCGCCGTGCTGCCAGCAGCGCTCTCCCCAGAACCCCCTGCCGTGGGCCACCTGCCCCCTGAACAGCAACCGCACCGGCTACGAGGAGGAGTGCGAGAAGACGTCGTCCACCCAGTACTTCTGGTACCGGCAGACCCTGAACATCTCTCCGTCGCTGGAGGCCAGCGGCAGCGTGCAGTGGGAGCAGGCGCTCTGCCTGACGCTGGCGTGGCTGGTGGTCTACCTCTGCATCCTCCGCGGCACCGAGTCCACCGGCAAGGTGAGAGGCGGGCACAGCCCCGCCGAGCCCGGGCAGGACGTGGTGAGGATAACTGAGTGCCAAAAGATAGCGGCCGTGGCTGCTGTTGTTTGGGGTTACGGCATCTCCCCCGGAGCAGCCAGCCCCGCTGCTGCCCTGTTAAGTTGCAGCTGAAGAAGGCTCGGCTAAAACACTGGGTGACATTTAAAAAGTAATCCAGAAAAGTCCTTTAAATGCAGCCACCTCTGCTGCAAAACCATCCAGCAGGCTGCCAGCCCCGCGGAAAACCTTCTGCCACAGCAGGGCTGTGTCAGGAGAAGTCTATTCCTCAGTCTCTGCAAGAAAAAAAAAAGACATCTACTGGGCGTTTTCCCTCACTTTTTATTCACAGCAGAAGTTATGGGGGGGGGAAGCAATGTCCCTTCTGAGCCCGCACTAAGAAGCAACCTGAGGGCTGTAATCCCCAAATCGTCTTAGCCAAACGCAGAAAGCCAAGAGACTGTAAACTAAGAATAACCTCTTAAACTTGCTGCAGCTGGCTTTGGGGGCAAAAAAGAAATAAGCAAACAGCCAAGGAGCATTGAAACAGCATCATGAAGGCAGGGTCTCGCTGCGGGAATCGGGGGCATGCGGGGGGCTTCCCCCACGTCCCTGGTGCGGGAAGAGCAGCGGGTTTGGGCGGTGGGCGCAGGGCTGTCTGGCTGGGGCCTTAAGGTGAAGCTGCTGCATCTCCAGGTGTGTGACAGGGAAAGGCAGGTGATGCTGGTGGTGCAGGCAGGTGCAAATGGGAGGAATGTTTGGTAATTACCCAGTTGATTCTCTTCCCAAGAGCTTGGGAAAGCACATTTTTTGTGAGTTAGTTTTTAGATAAGTTTTTGGGTGAACCACCGGGGTACACCCCAGTAAAGAGAAGGTGATTGAATGATCTTTTTTTTTTTTTTTTTTTTGGCAAATGGCTTTTTCCAATGTGGAGTTTGAACATTTAGCTTTAAATTCAGGGGTTTGGTCAAAAGCTCATGGAAGAAAACTGAAAGATTTAATTCCCACCATCCCCCATTCGGGTTACATTGTTAATGTCTTTTTCACATCTGAATTAAAACAGTTTTATTCAAGTTTGATTTTGACCTTTTATGAGGTGTGCTTGCCTTCTTCCTAGAGCAGATCGTGGATGACCTGTGCATAATGAGTTCTTGACAGATATTTGTAAATGGGTGGTACTCTGCTAAATGCTGCAGAACTGAGTTTGTAAATGCTGCAAGTATTTTAGATTTTGGTTTTATTTTTCCAACCAAAGAGAAGACTCTCAGAACAGTAGCAGAGGTCTTTATTATTAATAAAAACTTTTTTCCCTAAAACCTAAATCTAAAGTTAGATTTATCTGAAAATATTTCTTTAAGGTTTGATACAAGGTGACAAAATAATGGAAATTATCTATGTAAATGAGACTGGACATAGTAGATTAGCTCTGTTTTATGTATTCTTTAGACCAAGGTATTTCCCCTCCTTCCCCCAGGTCGTCTATGTAACAGCCTCTTTGCCGTACTGCGTTCTCATCATATATCTCATCAGGGGATTAACACTTCATGGAGCTGTGAACGGGCTTGTCTACATGTTCACACCAAAGGTACAGAAAAACCGTACTGAATTTTTCACGAAATGTTATGATTTACTGAACACATAGGTTTTTAAAAGATGTCAATGTTTCTTTTTATCATACTGAATTTTTGCAGCAGTAGCTTAGGTCAGGGAGCTGGAAACTGCAGCTGGGTGTGGCTGGAGGATGTTCTGCCACGGTGCCCATAATCTGCTTGCTTCCCCCCGCAGAAGACAACCTGCCCGTTAACATAACCCGTAGCATATTACTTTCAGACTGAGCAGTAACCCTGCCCGAAGAACTCCCCTGAGCTAAAACGGGTGCAGGCAGGGGCCAGTCCCCATCCCCGCGGGCTGGAAAGGACAGCCCCGGCCAGCTTCACGCTCCCACTCTCCCCGTCTGGTTTTGCAGCTGGAGCACCTGTCAAACCCCAAGGCGTGGATCAGCGCCGCCACGCAGATCTTCTTCTCGCTGGGCCTCGGCTTCGGCAGCCTCATCGCGTTTGCCAGCTACAACGAGCCCAGCAACAACTGCGAGAGGCACGCCATCATCGTCTCGCTCATCAACAGCACCACGTCCATATTCTCCAGCATTGTCACTTTCTCCATCTACGGCTTCAAGGCGACGTTTAACTACGAAAGCTGTATCAACAAGTAAGAGCCTGGTATTTCACTGGTTTTCCACCGCGAGCCGTTCTGGGGAAGGTAAGAGGGGAGGTAAATAAACAACAGCACGCAGCGCTGACCCAAGACCAGATCTGATACTGCTCTAATAGAGCTAATGGTGCTATTTAAAGTGATGAAGGCTGAGATGAAAGGTCAGAGCTGGCTTGCCTTTTGGCACCTGGGTGCAGCTTCCAGGCTGGGTTGAGAGGATGCCTTTGCCTGGGTGGGTCACAGCAGCACTTTCCCCTGTCCCCTGGTCCCGGCACATACTTCAGGAGATGTGTGGGGGCTGATTAATAAAACACAGTGAGGTTCAGATTCCCCCTTTAAGCCCTGTGCCAGGAGCTCAGCCTCCTCGGCAGCGATGTTCTAGAGCTGCCCAGGAGCTTGCAGGATGGTGCCACAAGGCAGCAAGCTCGCATGAGCTCCCTGGCACAGCGCCTGTGGCGGTTACACTTTTACTCGTATTTTTACAGCTTTCAATTTATCTGCTGACCAGAGAGGAAACCAAGCTGCTAGTCCCTGCTCAGTGCCAAAAGGCTCATTAAATTGGTGGGGTGTGGATGTGAGACCGGAGGGCAAAGGGGAAGAGATGCCAGCCGGCACCCAAAATACCTGCCTGGGAGCGGCAGTGTGGGTGCAGGAGCTGCTCCCTCCGAAGCAGAGATGAGTGCAAGGTCGCCCCTGTCCCAGCACCATGCTGGAAGTGCCGTGGCTCCTGCCCGGGGAGTCTGGAGCCCTGGGGCCAGCAGAGCATCCGGGCGGGCGGATGGAGAAGGGGACAAAGTGTAAAACCAGCCTCTGTTTTATACCCTGGCCTGAAAGCCATTAAATTCCTGTAATCTTTCCCAGGGTGATCCTGCTGCTGATGAACGCTTTTGACCTGGAGGAAGGCTCTGTAACTGCAGACAACCTCAGCGACATGAAAGACTACCTCATGGCCACCCACCCACAGGAATACTCCCAATTATTGCCGCAGCTTAAAAACTGCAGCTTGGAAGCTGAACTAGATACGGTGAGTTGCAGCTTTGTGCTGGCACCTGGGCTTCATTCTCTCCTTTCCCCCCATGGAGCCCAGGCAGCCCCTCGGCCCCACGGGGGCACATCTGCTCCCCCCCCAGCCTGGCTGGGGACCCCGGGAAGGGGTGGGGGGCACTGGCTCAGCCAGGCAAGGGGCTCGTTTGGGTCATTAGCAGCTGAGCCGGGTGGCAACACAGCTGAGTGCTGGCTCCGGCTGCGGGACAGGGCAGGTCACAAAGGTTCGGGGTGAAGGTTTTTGCTATGAGCAGCACTACACCAGTTTCTGTGCAGTTTGAATAAACCGGTGAAGATCTCATCTGTCTCTGCTGTGCAAAACCCCCACCACAGGTGTATTTTGTCATGGTGCAGAGTCAGCTGCTCCCATCCCTATTCTTATGTCCTTTAGTGAGCTGAGGAGCTGCCTGTAACTCACCCCTTCTCCCCCTCTTGCTGGCAGGCTGTCCAAGGGACAGGACTGGCATTTATAGTCTATTCTGAAGCAATCAAAAACATGGAGGTGCCCCAGCTGTACTCCGTGCTCTACTTCTTCATGCTGCTGATGCTGGGCATTGGCAGCATGCTGGGCAACACCGCCGCCATCCTCACGCCGCTGACCGACAGCAGGGTCATTGCTGCCCGTTTCCCCAAGGAGGTGATCTCAGGTAAGCGCCGTGTCGCAGCGTAGCACCTCAGGTGGAGCAGGGAATTATCAAATAGGCCGCCAGAAGGGTTTGCCTGCCCTTGGGAAATCCCGCCCAGCCTGTACAGCGTTTTCCCTTGGGAGCTCTCAAAGCGCTGGAGCGTTCGTGGCTGTGTGGTCGCAGGCTTCCCAACACACCCCACTTCCTTCAGGCTGGTGTCGACTGACGGATGGAACTCAAAAGGCCAGAACAAATGTCAAGATACCTGCAGCGAGTGGCTCTTCAGTCGCATTGCTGGTATCCCAACTGCGATACGCCGCAGGCTTTGGCCGAAAGTGATAGGTGCTCCCGTTCCAGCACGGAAATCATTTGTCCCCCCTTAAGACCCGTTTTAGCTGGATGCCCAGCAGTAAGAGCAGATGCTGCAGCCCACACGACAAGGCTATAGTCAAGACTTGGTTGTCTTGACCCTGCTGGGATGGTGTGCTGTGACTGCGCAGCTCTAAGGAGCGGCAGGTTGAGGATACACCAGCATAGGCACATGCACAGAGAGGCAGGTCTTTTCCAAAGGGGAAAAAAATTTCTCTTTCTCCTCTGAAAAAGCTGCTCCCTGACAGAAGTGAGTAGAAATCCCACCAACTTTTTAGTAACAAGAAGTATGACATTTCCCCCGTGTAATCAGATTTCCAGGTGTAACAGCAGGGTCCCTGTTTCATCCCTGCAGGTGTTGTGTGTCTCGTTAACTGTGTGATTGGCCTCATCTTCACCATGGAGGCTGGCAATTACTGGTTTGACATATTCAATGACTACGCAGCCACCCTCTCGCTGCTGCTCATCGTGCTGGTAGAAACCATTGCGGTGTGTTATATCTATGGGATAAGAAGGTAAAAGCTCGAACCCTCCTTTCTTCATAGTGGGATAGCTTGGGGAGCGAACCCACCTTGGGCTAAAGTTTTCTCCTACGCTGTGGTATCAGCAAGGCGATGGGCATCCGCCGTGCCCTGCAGCCCAACCCCTTCCTGGGGTTCAGGGCAGCGCAGGGGCCAGGCTGGGCAGGGGAGCACTAAGGAGCCACACACACCGCTCCCCACCTTTCTGGTCTTTGGTCTCAAGAGCACCTCCTGCTGAAACTCTGCTCCTCCTTTCGCAGTAATTCAGCGGGAGCAAAGTGGTGCCAGTAAGTCTGGTTTCAGGGGCGGTCACCTTGCACATCGCTGGGCTCCTGAGGCATCCTGTGCGGCTCAAAGGAAGATTCAGCATCAGGAAAGGTTTTAAAACAGCAGAGGGTGTTTGTGCTCAGGGCGTCTAAAGGAAAAGGCTTCAGCGTTCGCTGCCTTAGCCTGCTAGCACAGGGCGTGTGCAGGCACCTGCACTGGTGGTGTCTCCTTGCTGAGCTCAAGGCTGTCGAGTCAGATCCAGGCTTCCTGCGGGATTTTAGGTACCAGCCCCAGCATTGGTAAGTACTTCAGAGACAGTCGAACAGCAGCAATGAGAACGACTCGACTGCACAGAAACAAGCAGTGTTTTCTCCGCAGCACTGAAGCATCATTGCTTTTCTCGATCAGCTTACACCAGTAACAGTGTGAACTTGCACTCCAGGCAGAATTTTGTTGGGACTTTTCCTGCTGTACCCTGGTTTGTTTTGTCCCACCCCGCACACACGCTCACCTAGCTACTCTGCTGCAGTTTGGGATCCTTGTGGAAGCCCTGCTATCTTTTTAATTACATTTCACCCTCACCGTATGATCCCAGTGAGCCAGTTTTTCAGCCGATACCTCTCTGCTCATTACTCTTCCGCTCAGCTGTACTCCCCTTTCCCATCTTACATAATTAATTCTGGAGGTGGTTTTGAAGTAACTCAGCTCAAGGTATTGACTGAACATATGCAGCTGTTCTCAAAAATATGTGTTCTTTTTTAAACACAGATTTGAGAAAGATCTTCACACCATGATCGGACGCAAGCCAAACTGGTACTGGAAAATTATGTGGGCTTTTGCTAGTCCCTTGCTAATTATCAGCTTATTTATATTTTACCTCACTGACTATATTCTCACAGGAACGCTGCAATACCAAGCATGGGATGCCACACAGGTAATAATAGTTTTGGTTGGTTTGGTTTTTTTTTTAAACTTTCCTTAACTCCTGCAAGGATACAGCCTTCCTTCCTAACACCTTTGTCCCACAAAACTGCCTTCAGAAAGCTTGCAGCTGGAGTTGGGGCCATCCCTTAATTTTGTGGAAAGGTAACCTAGGGAAAACTAGTAACAGTGCTGCAGTGGTTTTGTAAAAGGGACTAATTTCCCTCTACAATTCCCAAATCTACCCCTTCAAACAGTAAAATTTGAGTCATGTTGAAGACCCAAATAGCATCTTAAAAAAAGATACTTTAAACAGAAAAATTGCTTTCAAGGTGCAGTATTTTGAACAAAATTCATGGTATTTTAACAGAACTGAGCTGCTGCTGGAGTAAATAGCTTTCATAATTTCCATACACATTTTTCTTAAGGGCTAAACCACTTCTGTGCAAATACTGAACTGTGTATTTATCACAGAGGAATTGGATAAGTAACCACTGGTTTCATAACCTTTTGTGGAAATGTTCCTAGCGCGCAGAAACAAGTGACATTGTTTTCATGTCATCTCTGATCTGGGAGTCACACTGGGCCTGGCCTGTGACTGGGTGTCAGCATGAGCCCGCAGCCTCCCGGAGAGGAACAGGGACCTGACCGAGGTCAGGGCTGAGCCTCCTCATTAAGAAACATGACTCAAGCCAAAATCTGCTCTTAACCAAAGCCTGCACCAGTTTTCCCCAGTATTTTTATCAGCAGCTCTGTTCTTACTGTCAATTTTAAGCTCCGTATGGTCAGACAAAAGAAAAGCACTGAGGACAGTCACGGGCTGCAAGTGCTTCTCAGCACTGTCCTGGTCGGATCCAGGCACAGCTTTGCTCCAGGCCACCGAAAATCAGAGCCCCCAACCCAAAGCTGCTTCTCTCCCTTGCAGGGGCAGCTGGTGACAAAGGATTACCCAGGCTACGCCCTGGCCGTGATCGGGCTGCTGGTGGCAGCATCCACCATGTGCGTACCCCTGGGGGCACTAGTGACTTTTATAAGGAAGAGACTGAAGAGGGAAAGCGTTTCAACCGTTGCATGAACGCCGACAGCTGGACTGGGGCAGACCTCACCCCCCGTCACCAGTGACTGGGCACTTCTGGAAGACAGCAGCAACCATTACTTGTAGCAGTTACTTACACAGTTGAGAATCGTGGGTGCTATATTGAACAAAAAGTGCTCTTACGAGGTTCTACAATGGTTTGGAAAAAAAAAAAAAAGCTCTTCTTTAACAAGATGAAGCTTTAAAACGGCCTCTGTAAGAGAGGGAAAACCAGAAGAGCAGCTCAAAATGCACAAATTAACCAGCGTATCAACCCATTACACAACGTTAGGTAATTCTGTTGTAGCACTGCCTATGCAGAACCACGAGCAACCAAGTAAGCATGTTCCTGCACTGTGGTACTGGTGAATTCTCCTACCACTCAAGAAAGCCACGCTAAAAGCATGCACGTTATTCAAAATTACATCTGTATTCCATCAACAGATGAAACTGTTGGAGTCCTGCAATGCAAATGTAATAATCCCTTTCCTACAAGGGAAAAGTCAGTAAGATGGTATTCAGGATAAGCGTGGCCAACACTGCCTGTGTCCAGCAAAGTAGTTTTTATATGTATTTAAAAAAATAATAATATAAATATATACACACAGATTATATATATATATAAGCTGCAAAAGTTCTCTCACCTCCAGAAATAAACTTTCAATTCCAGTATGTAACCGTGCACTGTGCTGTACTTCATATTTTCTAGGGACACACTTCAAGGACACCTGTGCTAAAGCTGCTTTACAAGCCCCACCCAAACAAAAGTATGCCATAGAATTAGCAGTGACAAAGTTCATATCCAGGAATACTTTAATCATGAGATGCAACAATCCAGCAGTTCCACACAAGTGGTTCATTTCCCTCTGTGAACGCTGTATAAAGCAAGCAACATGTTTAAATTGTAAGCTTCATGTAATAGAAAACAGTAAAATTGTACCTATGAACTTTAAAGCAGTCGCTCTGCAAAACAACATTAGAGAGACACTCATGGTCTGCGGCTTCTTAACATAGTGTCTTAACTGTGGAACCATTAGGAGATGACAAGTGCCTTGTAACAGAGGGTTTAATTTCAAACAAGCATTGTTAAAGCACACCAACAGCAGTCTGACTCCGGGGCAAAAAGCAGGAGGCAGGTGTCCAGCCACAGGGCTGGGCGAAATCTGGACCGTGCCAACCCCCACCCCCACGTGCTCCGTGGGCAGCAGATCCAGCAGCAGGACACGCCTCCCTCCCCAGACTTAACTAACAAAGGAAAGACAACTTTCTCACATTTCTGTTTATTAAAAATGGATACCATAAACAAGACCTGTACAAAAAAATATCCAAAATTGCCCAGAATTTGGTAACAGTTATGCGGTGAGAAGTTATCGTCTTGGGCCCCCTCTTCCTCTTCCACGACCTCGGCCTCTGCCACGGCCTCTGCCACGGCCTCTTCCAGCAACTTAGCAGATGAAACAAAAAAGATAAATCAGGTGAGACCCAGGAATGCTTTCATTACAATTAAAACATTCACTATCGAGCATAAGTAACATAACATCTCATCACAGGGAAGCAGTGAGTCAGGTATTTTAGGTCTGTTAATGCTCAGTAAGTTTCAGAAAATACTTCAATCTCTCACATCAGGTTTTCCAGTAAACAGCTCTGACAAACAGCTGTCTGCCTGTGGCATCACTGTGGAAAACAAGGCGATGTAACAGCTGCTGCTCCCAAATGCTGGCAGCAAACTGATTCCTCCTCTTTTTTTTTGACAAAATCTATTTTTTTCAGGCATCAGAAAAAGCATATGCAAGACAAGTGTATTTTGTTACTATTCATTACAATAGAAAAGATTATTTTTTTTTGCCACAGCTCACACTGTGGTTTATGAAACACTCTGCTAAAGGGAAACACAGGGTTTACCGTGCTGTGAGCCTCCCAAGCTCAGCCCCTCGCAGGCACTGTGCGAAAGGGCAGCACCTTGAAAGGCTCCCACCACCAAACAGCCCCTGGTGTTTCCAGTGATGCCTCTGCCAATTGCAGACATAATTCTCAGGCCAAGGTCCTCGCTGCGGGCTCCTACTTTTAAACACTGCTACTTAATGGGAAAGGGAAGACAGAATCACAGAGTAACTCGGGCTGCAAGCAACTGCTGGAGGCCGTACGATCCATGCGGTGCTAAGATGTAATTTCACCCTTTTTCCTAAAGCAACACACCCCCATCCCAGCAGGTTGCAAGGCCATCCTTTCAAACTTTTGAAATTGTTGGTTAATTTCAAACAAGTTTGTCAGTGGAGGGCTCAAAAAGATACTTAAAATTCAGCAGAAGTGGGTGGCTGGGTAGGAGCCCCACAGCAGCATCCACGTGCAAGAAGCAGGCTGTAACAACCGCTGTGTTCCATCTGACAGTACACAGGTTAGAAATGCAGTAAAGGCAGAAAGAGCAGAGCACAGGAAAAATCTGAGAAGCAAGGCAGCCTTTGCTTTGCTGGTAATAGACTGACTCTGGGAAATACATGGATAATCAAAACCTGACTGCACGATGACAACGAGCAGACAGTCCTGCCCCCGCGCCCCCCAGCAGCCACCCTGGCCGAGCCCAGAGCAGGCGCCCGACCCTTCTGGGGTCAGAGGAAGCATTCTGGATTAAGGCAAAGCACAGCGCGGGGATGTTAAGGCAAAACACAGCGCAAAGATGCAGGGAGTGTTAAATCGAGGTGAACAGCGTTATCACAGCTCCTTTCCTGTCCTCAAAGCGAGAGAGAGATGTTCTTGTTCACATCACAGCGTGAGGTTCAGGAAACAAATCAATCTGACCATGCTCGTTTCTCCCTGTGGTCAGATTACTTTTAATGGCCGTGAGAGGAGCAGAACGCTTTCAGGAGCTTTTTCCTTGTTCTCTCTAAAGACAGAGCCGCACCACTCCCGCTCTGCGATGCGTGCGCCCAAGGGCTCCTCACACCCTCTCAGGGGGTAACCACACCAATTCACAACACACCCACAGATCAAAGACCCCAGATCCCAATAAACACTTATTACAGGAGAAATGGCGCATTATTTTTAAGCACAATTAGCTTTCACTTACAACTTATTGTTTTAAGAACACAGATTAACTGCTGGGCAATATACTGCCTCAAGACAACCTACAGGTTTTTCTGGGGCTTACTGGATCTTAAGCTTTAATAATATAGATTAAAACTGAATTACTCTCTCTACTGTTAGGCTTCTAGGGTAAATGTTTTTGTTTAACAGCCTTTTGAAAAAAAAAAGCTCCAGGAAGAGCTGTGGAACACTACTGGGAGCCAAAGCTCATCAGAATAAAGCCTGGACTCCTCAGCTACTCGTCTTTCAAATTTAGTTCTCAGCAGCTTAATCTTATCCACTACCAAGTGACATTTTAGTGAAGCATTCAGCACTGTTCAAGAGGCTGCTCTGTACTTTCTCATTAGGCTATGTGAACTTCCCCCTGCAAACTGGGGAAGCACAGAGCCATCTGGAGAAGAGGAAATGTAAATCTCTGGTGTCAACTCTGAGACTGTGATAGGTTAAGATTTACTCAAGTTTAAGAACACTTGATTTTTAAAAACAGATGTATGAAAAGCCATACACATCATGTCACATGAAAGCAAGCTCTGCAGATGCCATGAAGGTGGGCAAGGCAGACTTAGCCAGTTCAGTACCAAACCCTCCAAGATGAAAGAGCTAGCTGCCAAACGCAGATATTGAGACACTCAAATCAGATGGCTTCAGATTCAGGGTACTAAAACGCATACAAAGGCAAAACCAACACAGACTGGGAAAGCACACACTAACCTGCTTCTCTCTTCTTGGATTTGACTTTCGGTTCAACATCCACTAGCAAAGTATCCAGAGGCAAACTGTCTGGCAGAATGAAGTATCGGATGTTATTCCCTCGAATACTCAGCGTCTCCAGCTGCACAGGTTCTCTGTTCTTCAGTGTCATTTTCACCGCTTTGAGATGTGTATTCATACTGACATCCACTCCTGAAACAACACAAGTCTAATTTCAGGGGTGAAAATCTACAGGATGGTCCCACGTTGGCTATTCTTAAGTATGCACATACTTCAAGATTTATCCTGTTCATTAACTCCTGATTTTGCCGGTTACTGACCATTCAGCCTCTAACTGAAGGAAACTACATGTCTTTTTCTAAATTAGGCTCGCTGATTTATCAGTTGCTGCCTTTAACACCTCACTGCTAGATACCTTTCTCTAGGTCCTGGCAATAGCAATTTTGTAAATGGTCAAAACAATTCCTTTGAACAACAAATAAACTGCCACAGAACACACCTTCGAGGAGGAAAAATAACTTGATCATTTCCTCTTTCTGTAAGCCTTAGAACAATCCAACTGCTAAGGCAGCATTTATTTTCTGATAAAATGCATCTAAGTGCTAGCATGGTATCTTCCATGCAAGCATGTACAATACACTGCTGTAGGGAACAATCACTGTGGTTACAAATTCCATGACCAGCCAGTATGTAGGAACTGTATGGAATCAGTGCTGTGCCCACTACTGTGCTACATATAACCTGAATTGTAGGCGAAAGGTGCAAATTGCAGTTTACAAACAGCAGCTAATTCAGTGACAGAATGAGCAAAATTTTTAGCGTGTTCAAACTTCTGTGCAAACAATGCTTTGCGGTAAAAATAACTATTGTTCCGCTTCACAAACACAGAAGGACAAACTGTAAGATGTCTTACCACAGTCAATAACACAAGTGGGTGACAGGCCAGAACCAGAACCACCAACTGTGCTGTGCTTATTCCATGTATTTTTCCTGTCCTCTCCCCTTCCTTCTGGATTTTCCCCAGCTCTCTGGCACCTGCACTCCCCTGACCCCCGCTCGCTTTGTGTAAGGTGCGTGCCACAGGCGACCTGCCCCCGCTGCCAGCCAGCTCTGGCCAGCCCCCACAGCCTTGCAGATGGCACAGCAATTCCGAATGTAGTTAATGCACCAGTGTAAGGGAAGATTGTAATTTTAAAAATACGGATTGCATTCAAAGTTTTTACAGATTCTTGGCAGAAAATCAGAGAGTCTTTGATCAACAATGAAGCCCACAAGAGCACCGAGGTCAGGAGACAAGCAGCTCTTTCCCTTCCCACCTAGCTGGGTTCAACAGCACCCACTGCCACCAGATGCTGGGGTGGTGCGTCCAGCTCTGAGCAAATCTGATGGATCTGGCTGCAAAATAATGCCAGTTTCAAACTTTGCTAAATCTCAGCAGATTGCTACTGGCCGAAAAAGCACCTAAGCAACCCCCTGGAATACAACTCTGCCAAGTTTGAATTTTACTTATTTTCACAGTGTCTGGGCTGAACTGCTTCTCCAAGCAGCCTGGGGTGAGGGAAGGAGATGAAGCACGCTCACCAGCTGAACTGTAAAATACAGCGCGCCCCACCTACACACCCGGTCGTCCCTACAGTCACGCTAGCGCGCGCGCTCTCAAACAACATCCCTCACTGATATTATTAAAGCAAACAAAACAGTCTGCACGTTTTTCAATACACAGGAGCACCACATAATGAACCATAAAGGCCTTTCCTACAACTTTCAGTTCCGTGATACAAACCAGCACCTGCCAGGCACCAACACCCACAAGCTCCTCTGACAGGCCCCAGGCAGCAGCAGGGGACCCCAGACCACATTCCTAACGCCAGAATTCCTTTTTATCCTGTATCCCCCATCAAGCCATGTGTTTCCAAACTCGTTTCAGGAAATCAATGCAAATACACGCAAAGATGCATTTTCATATAAGTTCCAACTTACTCAGAGCAAAATCATGCACAACAGAAATAACTAATATTTTAGATTAAAACTGCCTACTCGCAAAATTTAACAAATCTAAGAGCATAGCAGCACTTGACATTTGCCATTTATCTGTGCTACTATTAAAAAAATAAGTCCCTCTTCTGGCGAGTCAGCTGTAATGTTTTTATTGCCGATTGCAATTTCACAAACCTAAGTCAGATGTACTAAAACACCTTACAAAAAATTTAGCCCTATGTCCACTAGCAGTTTGATACGGTAGTAAGAGCACCTCACCAGCACTACTGCGTCGCGAAAGGTCTAAGGAAATCCCGTGCTTCCACCAGCTTTGCCAACCGTGTGGAAGAGTTTACCCCCTCCACCCCCAAGGCTGTTGGTGAGCAAAGCCCGCAGGCAGGCTCGGAGCCTCCCGGGGCTGCATTGCATTTTACCGCCTCCCAGTAGCACCTTGTAACCACAAAGCTTATTACGAAGCCTTATCAGCAGCATAACTTTGACCACGAGCGACATCGCCCACTGGCCCGTCACAGGCCATCTGCGACTCACCAAAACTCCCAAGCGTGTTCGTGGCCGCCTACAGAAAGCTGGGCACAGCTCCGCGCCCCGCTCCCGGCAATTCTGCAACAAACGCACCTCGCGCTTGGATGTAAAGATGTGAACTAAAAACCAGCATCTTCCTGTATCGGGGGGGGGGGGGGGGGGGCGATCCCCGCAAGAGGGAGCAAGGAACAGGGAGAGCGGAGCCCCGGGCGGGGCACCCGCTGGGGGCGGGGCTGGGCCGCGGCCTCCCGGCCCGCCGTACCTGTGATAGTCCCGTGCACCTGCGTCCCGTTCTTCAGTTCGATGGTCACGGTCTCGTGGCTCAGCTTCATGAGAAACCTAGGAATTAAAAAAAAAAAAAAAAAAAAAAACAAACAAACGCGCACCAAGTGTTACCCCGAGCTTCCCGGGGGGGGCGCGCGGCCGGGCGGCCGTTGGGAGCGCGGGCCTCCTCAGCGGAGCGCCGGCTCATCCGCCTCCATCCGCTCACCTGACGAGCTTCATCGCGGCGGGCGCGGCGGCCGCCCCGCGGAGCGGCTCGGAGGGGCGCGAGGCGCGGAGCCCCCGGGCGGGAAGGCCCCGAGGCGCGCGCGGAACGAAGGCCTCGGCCCAGCAGCGAGCTTTCAATGGGCGGAAGCGCCGCCGCGCGCGGGGCGGAAGGGGCGGGGTCGGCGCCCCCGTCTCTCCCAGCGGCCCGCCGTGGGAGGGCGCATGCGCGGGGCGGTGCCCGGCTCCGCCTCTAGGGGCGGCTGAGGGGGAAAGGCGGGAACGCCAGGCTGTCCATCAAGTTTATTGGGGGGAAAAAAAAAAAAAAAATCAAGTATTTTTTTACAGAATTTAATTTTAAACGCTTCAAAAAAAGATCTAACAAACAAACAGTAACAAAACCACCAAAAAAACAGGAGTACAACCTTTAAAGAATTCATTAAAAAAAGAGCATCAGCATCCAAAATAGTAGTTTTGTCTGCGTGTGGGTATCTACTCACCTAGCAAAGCCTGCTCAATGTAGAATATACACAGGAGGCTCTCCAAATACTATTCCATCAGCGATTCAGAAACTCAGAGACCTGCGAGTTTGGGCAAACACACTTCACATCCTCATTTGCAATTGGCAAATGCAACTGTCTAACATACCACAGTGCAACGACAAACAAGCAAGCAGATGTGTGCCTGCAGTGAGGGGAGGAAAGGGCGAAGACAATTTGAGTTTGTCACTCCGAGCACCTATTGCTGTGGTCAATAAAACTGTCTGAAGCAGCCCGGTGAGGGAAGAATCCAGAGAAATCCAGCCACAGTAGGTCTTAGGCCAAGACCCAGCCAGGCCAGTGAAGCCAGGAATGTGACCCTAATGCAAACTCTAACATAGGGTACAGCGCAGGGTCATCAATATTTAATTAAGTACAGAAGAGCAAGATCTTCACATTCAAGGAGTAGAGACAAAAGCATCCTTCTGGTGAGCAAGAGTTCCTAAGGAATAATTTGGGAACAGTCCGCTCTAACGCACAAAATGCACCACAGACAGCATATCTAGAAAAGTCAAACATTTTATTGTCATTTATGAGTACATCATTTGTGACTTTAGAAATACAGACTCTTTGCAAAGCACTGAAATACAGGTGCCTTCCAACTTCTAAAACCTACATTATTTTGTCTTACAAACCCTTTATACTAGCAATTCAAGTTTGGTCACTGCTGCAACAGGTTCTTCAAAGATGCAAAGATTCAGTTCTAGGCTGCAAGATAACCGAACTGAGTTTCAAACGCCACCTGCCAGTGAGCCATCAAAACCATTACTCTCAAATATTGAATCTATGATGTTCTTGTACTTTGTGCCCATAATGGAGTTCACCTTTGAAAATATTAAGTTAGAGGATTTTCCAGTTAACCAACAACTGGTAATTCCATTACAGCATCTAGAAGCAAACAGATACTTTGCAAGTACTAGTGCTTATGAACAGGTTGTGTTTACACAAAACCCAGAGAGGCCTCCAGAAACATTCAAGGTTAAAATGAATAGTTAACAGTTGCAAAAATCTGTACATATTTTCAGTCGTAACACAAGAAAACACTAGAGTATCAGTGTTTTGTGTTCTAGCTTCAATAGCGACAACTGTGCTAGTCCTAGTATTCTACATGTTTCTCCCTTCCCCCCCGTTTAAACTTTATACTCGCACTCTGAATATACAGCTGTACTTACAGGAAATATTAAACAATGCACAGCGCCTTAAGCAAGTTCCATGTCTGGTTTTGAACAAACCATATAAAATAAGTGACAAAATAGTTTAAAATTGGTCCTTGATTAGGATTACTTATTTTTATACAGCTTGGAAGCACTAAATTTAAAGACACACATTTAGTATTAACCAGCACAAATTATTCTGTAGGGGTTTTTTTTTTGCCTTTTTTTTTTTTTTTTTTTTTCAAGAGCGTTACAGTATCATGCATGAAAAGCAAGCTGCTGCTCCCAAGTGCAAACATGGAGTTGACACTAACCACTTTCTCCTCAGGTTGTTACTCCTTTCATAAATTATTTCAACATAACCAAGAACAGAAGCAGCTGACTAGCAAAACAATATGAAGTTCACCTTTTACGTTGTGACCCATTCTTAAAGTAATGGAGTACTTTGGACCTTTAGCATAAGGAAGGTTCAATAAACACTGCAAAGGATTTTTACATTCTTTGATTTAATTTACATCTTTAGAAAGAAAATTCTGTATTTTAACTCACTAACTAATTAATCATCATCTGGAGACTGTAGTATGGAAACAGTGCAAGACATCTGCAACTTTAGGAACATCCAATTACACTGTCCTTTCATCCAAACAATGATTAGTAGAATATTGCATCAGTCATAGATAAACAAGACAGGACAAAATGCTCATTTTAGAAGAGCATTAGGATTCAAAAATCTTTTCTATTTAGTGAAAAGAATCCACACAAATACGCACGAAGGACTCCTTAACATGGACTTTATCACAACAAATGTAATCCAGCTGTAAAGTCTTGGAACCAGACTTTTTATTGGTATGAAGCCATATATATTTAGAGACCATGATTAGAAGCTCCATTATTGATGCTTCAAGGTCTGGGTTTTTTGACACATGAACAGCATCAGAGCTCTCCTGTCAAGCCAGAGATCAAAAATTCAGCTGAAATAGCCCAGGTGAACTATAAGCTTCAGCAGTCCCCTTCCACCCTAAAACATTCCCGACACCAAAAAGCTGGCTTTCATCTTTGCATTACCTCAGTAAAAGTGGAGCCCCCTCCACTAATGCAATATTCCAAAGACCATTGCAACTAAGACTGTCAAGTCAGGTCTCAGTTGAAAGCTACCACCACCAAAGGACACCATTTTCTTCCTCCTCCACCCCCCGCGCTGCCAAGGAAGAATGTTAAAAAGACCACTACTCTGTGTGGAAAGCAGGTCAGTAGAGACTCCAAGTGTGGCTTGAGGAATCCTCAGTACCAAGCCGCTTTCCACACACACAAATTCAGTCCATTTTCTCTTTCTGGACTAGCTTGGGTGCATCTACAAAATCCTTGCCGTTGTAAAGGATGATGGCAAAAGTTCCAAAGCTTGCACTTCCCCAGAAAAGCACGTAGGCCAGTGTCTCAGTCCATGTATCACCTGTTAAGAGTCAGATGAACATTTTAGTTCATTATCTCTAGTTACCAGGGCAAGGTTTTTAGTACTAAAACAAAATATTTCAAGCCTTCCCTCAGAAATTTGCTGTCAAATGAAGTTAGAAGTCCTCCATGGGTACTGGGGTCTTTTCTTTTTTCTACTCCCTTCCCTAGGGAAACTGTGTTTGCCACACAGTTCTTAGAGCATTTTGAACAGACAACTACAGAAGTCAGAGTCAACAACTCTACTGGCATTAACATTAGAAAACTGAAGGCAGAGGCAGCAGGCAAAAACTTTCACAACTCCCACCACAGATTTAGATTGGGGGGGCATCCATCAGAACAGGTTTATGCCTATATCTGACTTTCCTGAACTGTCCTTCTGCCCAAAATTAGGCAGGTATTCTTCTGGGGATCCATCCAGCCTATAATAAAGCTAGATGTCTACTCAGGTACAACTAGATTTGGGGGCAATTAGCTGCCCCTTAAGTGATTTCTACAGAAGTTTTAACATTGTCTTCCATAGTACCTCAGGTTCTTCCACATGAAGTGCTAACCCTCAATCTCCAGAGCCATGCTCAAACACCTTTTAGTATGACAGAGAAGCAACTTTATACCGAATAGTTTCTGGTAACCATTTATAAAAAGTCCACACAAGCAAGTTGATTTTGTGAAATTAAACTCAGTAGTGACTTACCAGCCATTAGCAAACAAATAATGCACATGGAGAAAGCAACCACCATAATAATAGGCAACTGGGAAAAGAGAAAAAGAATAATTACTTGATATAGCAGCACATATATCCTTAACTTCCTTGAAGATGGGCTGCACTGCAAAGCTATTTACTTTGCAATACTCTGCTTTCCAATGAAGTTGCTTTAATTCCCAATTCACCTGCTATTAGGTACAAATAAAATTTTGGATAGCTCCAAAATTTGGAAGAATGTGTTTAATAACTAGGTTAAGAATTAAAATACACCTTCTATCTATTAAAAGAGAAGTTGAGGTTTGTGTTCTGTTTTTAAAAAAATACACCAGTCACTACTTAAACACAATGTCCCTAAATCCCATTTCACAAAACAGCAGGGGAAAGGGAAAAAAAAAATTTTTTTTTTTTGTTACAGTCTATACTTCTGCATGAAGTATGAGAAGACATCTTCACAAGCTTCTTCTGCAGAAGGAAACAGTCATTGATGGTGACTAGTAGAATCTCTCCCTCTCCACTTGATGAAGCAGACTTAAAAAAACCAAGCAGCGTTTTTTTCAATACCTCAAGGACACTCCATTTTCTGTCAAGGGAACACTCTGGGTTTAGTCCTATAAGTAGGTATCATAGAAACATAACCAGATTATAGGGATGCTTCATTACTAAATAGACATGTTCTACTTAGTCATATGAAGCAAGTGACTAAAAGGTTGTATGTGTTTCTCCAATCATGAATAAAGTCGCCATACTTACAGCTAAGAACTTCCAATCTTTCTTGACATGTAGAGGACTAGCAGGTTCTACTTCATCCACTGAATAATTTCCAAGAAAAAGATCAATTGCATCCTAGAAGAGAAAGGAAGAGTTAAAATGCACAGCAATGTTTATCAAAAACATTCCCCCAGAGTTAAGCTTTTAACTTACTTGTCTAAATCCATCAGAAAAGTTATTTTTGTAGTAACGTATTAATGAGTTCCAGCCATCCATTATTAAGCCCCACTGAGTTCTCTTCCCAGTTCTGCAAAAAAGTTTTGAAAAATATTTAAAATAGATTTTAAAATTCATGAAGGTAATTTCAGATTTACTGCTCTTTCATTGGTCAAATGTATACTATGTTTAATGAATACCTGCATGTAAATACATTTATCTAGTGCTGCCTCTGCATTATTACCACATACTTGTAACAAAGTTTGAAAGTAAAATTACACTTCTCTGTCCCACAATATAATATGCCTTGAAGAGGCACATTTTCTCGGTTTTATTTCCAGATAGCCTTTTCTCCTTTCATACAAACACAGTGAAGAATGGTGTTCTGTAGATTCTTGTCTGACATTTTACCAGTTGAAC